GAGCCGAAGATAGCCGAGCCCCCGCAACCTGGTAACTATGCAAGGTGAGTCAACAGCGGTGACATAACAGGATGACGTGGCACTCATTATGCAACAAGCAAGCACTGCAGCTATATAAGTGAGCTGCACAGTGCCTGCGAGTCAGTTATAAAGTAACAGTCGCCGAGTTGAAACATAGCAGCCTGCGAGTGTGCGATACTTAAGAAGTCAGCGAGCGGAAGACTTTTCGTGTGCTTTCCAGACATAGTGAGTTCTGTAGTACAGTTATACTCGGAGTGTGTAATTCAGGGAGACTTGTATAGCTCCCGCATTATTAGTACGTGAAGACTCTCGAAGAGAGTGTTAAGAGATTTTGTTCTAGGGTTTGTAAAGTGTGGAAACCCGTAATATTGTGATAATTAATTGTAGCCGTTATTTGAAGATTGTTAAATAAACCAATTAACCATCTCTACGGCGTCTTCAGTAACGAAACACGTTACACTGGTGTCAGAAGTGGGATCAGTAACGCAAACACGTTACAATATGTATATACTTTCATCCAGAGGAGGTATACATCTGAGATAACTGCAGTTACAGTTTTATGCCCTAAGCCCAGAGGTTTCACCTCTGTAAGTATGCAGTAACCTTTGGTGAGACTGAGATTCAGACATTGCCACATATTGATGTTTGTTGTATTAAATTCCTCTGGACTTGTGTTTTTGTGTTTCAGGTGCGATGTAAGCTGGGAACACAGTTTGTCTACTGACTTATGTCGGAACCGTCTGCAGGTACACATCTCAGCTGAGGATATTCTAAATGTCAACATAACAGATACTTTTGTAGATCTTTATAAAATGGTGAAGGAGAACTGGACTCAGGATTACTACAATCTCACACCTCGTGAGAGGTTAGTGTCTTATCAGATGCTGTACTACATGAGCTGGATTCACTATCACAAACTAACTGTCCAACCAACTAACTAATGAACTAAATAACTAACTAGGAGAATAATACCATGAAGCACTCCCTTTTCAGAAGCCCATAGTCGCTTTGCTACCCAAGAAATTCACCTCTTTTCATGTAACCAGAAGATTCATTCTCATTTTTATGAGATCCCACAAAGTGTGGGACACTGTAACATGCTCTCTTTTATTCTGAAGCATCCCTAGCCCATCATCTATCTCCAGAGCTTGAAGAATATCTCTTGTTTGCTGTTTCTGACTGCATATTTGATATATTTCCAGCAGCCTTCCCTATCTGGAACTCATCCCCATCTGAAACCCTGAGGGTGTATCTTGCTTGGGTAGCACAGGACACAGTATCTAAAATTCATTACAGTAAAATTAATTTTCCTTGAATTTAAGGGAAGGAATCTGAATATCAGTTAACTGGATTTATATGCACCTGTTTTGGCAATAGTAACTGAATGTGACACCATGCTTGTGAGTCATGATGGAGAACAAAATAAACAGTAGTGACATTTCTAAATACAAAATGTAACAAAGATGATGACTGGTGACTGGTGAAAGGCAGAGAGTGGAGCTGACACACACACAGCTTGGAACACTTTTGTTCTTGCAGACATCAGTTACATATATGAGAAAATGAATATTAATTTTTAGAATGCAATTGAATAGTTGTACTTGTCATTATTTTTGGTACATTAAGATCTGGTTTCTGTGTTAATCTTGTTCAGATATGATTGTGGAGCAAATAAGCTGATCGGAAGCCCACCAGGATACAGACGGCGGTCTCCATTTGTCCCATTTGCAATACACAATGATACAGCTTCAAGAATTTGGTTTACCACACTAATCACATCACCAGACAGGTGGGAACTGCTTTATAATTGTAGAAGATGGTTTGTCCTACCCATTGCTATACATAGGTTGGGATTTATGTTTTATTCCATGAATTATAAAGTACATGTCAATAAATGTTGCAGCATTTCTGATCCTTTACATGGGAGAGACTCTTCACTTGAACAGGATGAAATCTGGACATCTGTGGCTCCAGATGACACAGTGCCGTTCTCATTTGAAGGTCGAGGTGAGTGTATATGTTCATACTAGTACATATATTTGGTGTTGCCTGGTCATAATGCGCGTGTATAAAAAAGAAGAGTTCATAAAAACTTTAGCAACAGCAGGAGAGGGTTTAGGTTTTCCTCTCTATCCTAGTAATGAAGGAAGGAAGTTCTATACATAAAAGGTGGGTAAACCCCTTGAACTGAGAAATGCTGAATAGAGGAAAATAATATGTTATGCATATGGATGACAAAATGTGCCTCAAATGCAGGAACATGTAAAAGGCAGGTCCCTTAAATCAGGGTTTCACTGTAAATAGCATGTTCTTTTTCTGTATTGGTTTGTAAAAATTCATTGCCTTTTTTTGAACAAAAGCAGCCCCACTGTTACTGTTAAAAATCTCAAGTAATTATTTCATTATCTACTCTTGGTGCCCCATAACTTATACTTCTCATACAGAATCGTAAAAACAAGTATATTCTTAATGGAGGTATGTAAAACATTGTCTCATGAGGGCATATGACTATAGACAGTGTTTGGATCAGAGACTGGATTTATTGACCACTTTAACACATGACACATGTCTACACGTAATTATAGCACAGTCGCTAATCTTCACACTTTACAATTCACTACAGAACACGCTAAGTCTTTTCGGTGTACTGTGTCCTCACCAGTCATTCCCTGGTAATTGCTTCTAATAATGGCTCTGTAATGCACTGACTAAGTCTTCTCTTCACAGACTCCCTTACAACTGACTCCCAGGCTGGAAGCCATCTTACAACAACCTCCTAGTCTTCCCTTCACAGACTTACTTCATAACTGACTGAACTTTCAAACTTTTCTCTATTATAACATCTCAGCACGGACCACGCAGAAAACACTGCGTCCAACAGTTCCTCTATTGTTGTGTGTAAACTCTTTGTTGTGGGAACCTGTTTGTTTTGTGGTCACTACCTAGTAACAGGTTTACATGCTGCAATATTCAGTTTCACCATTTTAAGGGAAAAGATTTGTATCCCTGGTCTGGATGTAAGAAGCAACCTTCCATGCAGAAATGCTTTGAGTTATATACCCACGTTTCCCTTCTCTTTAGTATGTTGGACTCAGATTGGTGAAGATTCCATGATTTTACAGACAAGGCTCGGCATCGTGACACACACAAGCTGAGGAGCCATCAGATTGCTGTTCGAGTGGAGGGCTGGAAATCTGTTGGTCCTGTGTCGATAGACAGAGTTGGTGTGTATTTCAGACAAGCCTTACCAGAACTGTACAGGGCGGTGAGTACATAAGTTTGCAGTTCAACACCATTCTGTTTCAGTGTATAGAGCTAATAAATGGTAGAGATATTATGCCACATAAAAGGCATCAGTTATTTCTTCCATATTTATTAAATGTTTACTGTACTGAGGACTGCCTCAGATGCATTATGTTATGTCATGTACAAATGTTTTTCTACATTGAGCGTTTTTTGATAAATCTATTGAAGTGTAATGTAAAGATGTGTTTTTAACCCTGTAACACTGATCCTCTTTTCCAAGTACGTGGTTTGAAACATTCAGGTTAATTTGGCTCAATTTACAAGTCCCACTACAAAAATTAGTCAAAAACAGTTTTGATCAAAGACACATGAAAAATTCACACTTGTTCAATATAAACAGCAATTTAAACAAAAAAAAAAACTACAAGTGCTAACACTATAAATAATTTGAAGAAAAAAATAAAACTGAAAGTTATATAGAAATTTAAAATTAACATAATTAAGCAAAGAGTAAAGGTCTCTCTTTGGTCTTCTTTTCTTGTCACCAAGCCTTTAAGAAAGAGAATATTTTTCTGTAAATTTTGATATAAATTTTATGCATGAAGAGCTATCTAGTCCAGAACTAAATTGCATTATGTAAAGCAGTGCGTATATACCTTTCGCAGTTAGCACGTGTGTTTAGGGAAGCATGCTCCATGGAACCCCTTAATGTATCTGGTGCATAATGTTCTGGGTTTCTGCCTCCTCCCCTTTCTGTTGCTGACAGTGCCCTGGGGCTCTTTTGTTTTAGGGAGTTTTCTGAATCCTTGTGGTCCCTGTGGCTCATCTGCTCGAACATTGACCTTCAGTACCAGTCACTGATCTCCCTAAGCTTGCAATTATGGCACAGTGTAATTGTACCTGGTTTTCAGTTTGCCAGGCTCTCTGTAGTTTTCCTTATAGTGAAAGTAGCTGTTCAGCACCATCTTGGCTGTGATGTTGAAAGCTACCTTTTTCCAATAATGCACTGTCCATCTTTCATCCAAATAATTATACAGCTTCATGTCTGAAGGGTTGATGCCACCCATAAACTTGTAGGATGTGATGACTTTTGGTTTTATTTGTGGACTGCAGCTATGTCTTCCCTGTACGTCCTCTTTTTGGCCTGTGGCATGGCTGGAGAGAAGAATAACAGTTTTTTTTTTTTTGTAATTTTGTCTTGTGGAAAACACGTGCAAGAAGGGGACCAGATCTGCAGCAGCAGATCCATAGCCTTCCTTAGAAGATTCTGCCACATTTGTCTATTCCTTGCTCTTTTCCCAGTTTCTTTCCCCCAGAGCTTTAATGTCATTGTCCACTCTATCTTCCCATCTCAGTTAAGGCCTTCCTCCCATTCTTCTGCCTTTTGGTTTGGCATTAAGAATTTCTTTCGCCAGTCAGTGCTGGGCCATCTGAACAGCATGACCAACCCATTTCCACATACCCACTTTTATAAAGGTTATGATATCCATGTCCTCTTGCAAAGCATACAGTTTATAATTGTACCCAATTCTCCATTCATTGTTTTCTTTGACTGGACCATATATGGCTCTCAGACACTTTTCTCTCAAAGATACCAGGAGATTTTTCATAAAATACAGATAATACCCATGTTTCTGATGTGTATATTAGGACTGGCCTAATTAATGTCTTGTATAACATGATTTTACTTTTACATGTGAGTACATATGACTTTAATTTGCTCCATAACTATAAAAGCATTTAAGCAATCGAAATTAATTTCTTAATTTCCTAACTACTGTTGTTATTACAACTGACAGAGGATCCTAGATATTACAGTATTTCAGCATTCTGTTGCATTGATATATCATTCTACAAATTCATTTCCATCTTTAATGCAACTTTGTTCACACGCTCTCATTAATTTAAAATAACATTGAAATTACAGTCAAGTGCGACATGTTTTGGCCTTACTCCTCAGGCATTTGTGCACTTTCTGAAATCATCACACTGCACTAGATCCTAAGCCAAAATATTTCAGTGCTATTGCATTTTCATCCACTCTAAAATATATTTGAGAACATAACTCCTTATCCTTTTCCACACTGTTTTCCTTTTGCAGTGTCATGTTTTTATGTTGTTTTATTTACTCATATGAACATTGGTGTGCTGCTGTTATTTGCCCCCTCAGTATGTATGTTCCTACTGGTTGAGTGAATGCCACTTTTGTTGCATTAAAGCAGGAAGTGAATGTGTAGAGTGATCCTAGATATGTCTGTACTACTCCAAACATATAGTTACTGAGAGCTATATTTCCACTTGTAATCATATGTTTTGTTTTTCTTAATTTATTCTTGATCCCATTCTTGTTGCTGTGATGTCTGTATCATCTGCCGATTCAAGTATCTGGACAGACGTATGAAGTATTGTACCATTCACTAGTTTGTGTTCAGAATCTCCTACAGTTTTGTCCAGTGCAATATTAAAAAAGAGGACAGGGCAGTGCATCAACTCATCTAAGACAGAGATGTTACTGCAGCTGATAAATCTGACCATGTTCTAACATGGAATTTACTGGGAATTTTCAGTTCACCCATTGCGTAATATAACTGTTGTCTATTTATTGCATCATACACAGACTTAATGTCCCCAAACAGATAGTACGATATCACTTCAAACTCTTTAGCTTTTCCCATTATCTATCTCAATGAAATGATTTGCTCTACAGTAGACCTGTCCTTTCGAAGCTCATGTTGATAACGTCTGATAGCATTTTCTGCATGTGGTGAAATTCTCATAAAATATTTGGTAACACTTTATGAGCCATATTTGGAAGACTTATCCCTCTATAGTTATGGCATTCCTTTAGGTCTCCTGTTTTATTTGTTTCACAGATGATACGTGTGTGCCAATCTCTAGGGATCCCTTCCATTAACCATATTTGACAAACGATATCATGTAGGTTATTAACCATTTCTTTACCACCATATTTCAATAGTACTGACTGTAAATTATTTAACACACGGGATTTATTATTATTCAGCTTTCTTTCAATTTTGAACCTCTTCTGCTGTTGGTGGTGGCTTATTGTTTCCTCACCATAGTTGCACAACTACACACCATTGTCTGTGCTTAACTCTGATTCTTGAGTTTTCAGTAGATTTGTAAGTACTCATGCCATCTCTTTAACCTTTCTTTCTTCTGACTAATTATCTGTCCATTCATCCGTATTCTGTTAATTTCTTTATAAAATTTCTTGGTCTGATTTTGGCTTGTTAAGTGTTCTTTATGTTTAACTTTATTATTCTCATAGTGCCTCTTCTTCCTCCTTGGTACCTTTCTCCTCCTCCTCCTCCTCCTCCTCCTCCTCCTCCTCCTTCAAGATTTACATGATTTTGTATGAAGCAATGGTTGCCATTTTACCTCCTATGTTCAAACACCCTGTCCAACACCTTCGGTAATCATCAAAACATTTAATGGTGTATACTTTGAGCTTTGACATCGTTTAATAAACCATGAGTTAATAAACATAAATAGACTTATGGTGAAAAGCTGTCAACGTGCCAGAGTGCAAGTGTTAAACATCACTGAAATAAAGCTTTTAATTTCTTGTCTCATGTAAAATAATGTGATTACTTGGAATGCATATTTTCTGTTTTCAGAACCTCAATCTGCCTGAAGGCAGAATTGTGTTTGAAGTTACACTGGAGGGTTCAGCACGGAAATTAGTGACAGTGAGGTCATCACTCATTCTCACCAATCAGCTCCCAGAGACAGTGGAAGTGAAGCTTGAGAACACACTCATTCATCCTGGAGGTAATGTAAGAAAATGAATGTTATCACATTATGGAGCAGCTACCAGATTGTTCCCAGGAACTTACTAAAGCAAACAGCTTTTTACATGCTTGAATGTTCCATGGAGCAGAGCCCTTAACAAGCTATTAGTCCTTCAGCTGCTCAAAGAAATTCTCTGCCTTTTATGGTATGCAATGATTTATTGCCATTTTTACAAGAGCTTGCCATTGGACTGTATCATGAGCGAGATGAATCCTGTTCAATCCATCCTACCCTATTACTTTTACATCCATTTTAATATTATCCTCACATCAATGCCTAGGTGTGTCAAGTGGCCACATCCCTTCAGCCTTTTGGACCAAATTTTGATGCATTTATGATTTCACATACAGAAGAGCTATAATTCATAATCTAGTACTGAATATTTTGGAGCTCCCAGGGAGCACTAACACTCTGCAGTCAGAAAGTTGTACAATCTTTTTCCTATCCAGGAAATTGCAGCTGTTTTATTGCTACCTAATACTATATTTTTTCAAGAAGTTATAAAAATAATCAGCAGGCAGTGGCATTTACTTGGCAAAGCCACTGAAATGATGACCACAACATATGGTCACAAACTGACCACTGAAACGTATCATCAGAATTAGGAGGAAAACCTAGAATAGTGATAATGTTGCAGAATATGTCAATATGTGGAGCAGATATTGTCCCACCACTCACAGCTGCTTGTTACCAGTGTAATGCCACTGCTCAGTTACTGCAGTGTTTTCTTCTTTTGTCTCCTGTCTGCACTGCTGTGAACTAAATTCTTGTCTGCGACATTGAACTGAATTGCCACATGACTTAACTATTCTGACTACTCAAAAACTGATTCATTGCCAGACTGAACTGACTGACTAATGACCCACAGCACTTACTGCTTCATGCCTGTATCCACAAACACACACACGCACATTTGCACTATGTTTGTAACTGGACTGCCCCACTTCTGAGGCTTCGCAGCTGCTGTTGTACACACGTACACTGAGAACGTTCTCAGGCAATCATTCATGTTGATGAATTGGTAAATTCTGTCAGCTCTACCATGTCTGTTTGTCTCTGTTGCAAATATTTCCTGAAATTCAGTGATTTATCATCTCCAAATCTTGGACTTGTCTGGCTGCAGACTGAAGCTCAACCACAATGATACCAGTAACACCCATCAGATCCATCAGCCCCCTCATAGACTTGTGTTAGCGAGTCAGACTGCGGTGGACTAGATGCTGAAAGACATGAGAAGATGGGGGGTAACTGAGGAGTCAGACAGCCCTTGGTTTTTGCCCATCATGCTCATCAGAAAGTGGAAGGAAGGCATCATTTCTGTGTTGGTTGGCAATAGCTGAGGGATGATGTTACAAAGAAGGAAGGACTGTTTCCTGCTACCCAGACTAGACATATGCTCTATATGCTCACTGGGTCAGGATTCCCTGCACCACAGGAACTGTTGCCTGGCCTGGGTGATCAGAACATCAACACCCCCCCCCCCTTCCCATGCTCTGCACTTAGCTTCTGCAATAGTATGAAGCAAGCTGGATGGAGCAGTAATGCTTATGGTTTGTATTTGGGAGGCATTTTGTTTGAATCCCAACCAGACACGGATGGAGATATTAAACGTTTTCCCCCCCATCCTTTCAAGTTTACTAAATCCAGTTGCCTTGTATATTTTGGCATGTAACCACTACAGTTGATGTACTGTCATGAAATCATCTGTAGTCTGTCTATCTGTACAAATGGTTTTATTTTCTTTTTTATTCCATGTCTTGAATATCACTGCTTGAAACTGTCATGTAATTCATAAAGCTGGCACATTAGTGGCTAGAAGGTAAACAGAAACTTTTCAACATTAAATAAATTAGATAAGAAAGACCTTCTAATGTATCTTTGTTTAGTTTGGGGGTGGAAGCAGACAAAGCTTTGTATTGCAGTCGTATGCTTTGCTGTATTAAGATACAAGACAGAAACATTGCAGTACATTTTCAGTTGATGCAGTTAATCATTAAAATATATTTTTTTATTTGGTAGAGACGGGGACGAAGTATATAAAAGTTGCTCCAGGTGGATCACTGCCCGTTCCACTGTCCTATGTCATGTCCTACTTGTGGGTGAGGCCTGTTGATCGATCGCAACCTGCTGGCCAGGGCTATGTATTCTGTAATAAGCACATTGTGTGGAGTCATGTCTCTCGGCCTGGAGAAACTGTGGAGGAACTGAGGATGTGTATTAGCAGTAGAGATCAGTGTTTCAGGTTAGTCTAAAGATTCTCTTGTAACTAATTTTTGGCTGCTTTTTTTTTTTATATAACACAAAATATCATAATGTGGCATGTAGACGCATTGCTAGGCAGCGACCATGAAATAAGCAATGGCTCAGCAAACAAGCATGTTTCTGTGCCAGTAATGGGAGGCAATGTGTTCTATATGGTCTGTGCCAAGATGTTATAACTAGGACCAGGTGGCAGTTGTAGTTAGTCAGAGAAGTGCTTCGGTTCAGTCATTGCAAACTGTTGCTGTCAGAAGCTGGTAACTGAGATCAGGGACCATTCAGGAGCCCAGAGGAAGGGAAATGTCTTCTATTGAAAGCCACTACCAAGCAACAGCAGTGAAGATGTGACTGTGAACACTTATCCGTATGTGTAATAGTGAACTGTAAAGTGTAGTCACATACTGTATCAGAGAGTGCAATAAGTCTGCTCATCAGTCCAAAACCTGTGTGTAGTCACTCCATCACGTGACAATATTATGGTGACTGGCATCCCTGCATTATCTCTGAAAGGTCACAGGTTTGGATCTTGGTCCAGGAACTGGATCTGTTGATTGAGGAGTTTTGTCATTTTCCTCAGTCTGAGGCAAGGGACATGTTACTGCTTTTAAAAGGTATCAACTACTTTGTCTAACATTGCATAAATTTCATAATGCATAATTTTCCGTACCACATCTCATTCAGTTCTGGATGCCTTTACCATAGGGTTCCCAGATACCCCGTTTTCCCCGGATTCTTCCGTTTTTTCACCCAAATTTTGTTCCTCCTTTTATTGTTTACCCAGAGTGAATAATTCTCCGTTTTTTTATTTAAGACCATTGCGAATTATATTTCATGGGTTAAATATTATCATAAAATTTCTGTAATCCTTGGAAAATTACATTGTTATAGTTTCTTTCATTATGTTGCATTTCGTGAATGTTGGCAACACTTGAGGTTCTAACCAAGCAGAGGTTGTTGGTGATAGTGTAATTTTAATCCATTCAATCTTCGCTAGAAAGTCAGTGTCAAGTTAGCAAAAATGTTTGAGGGCGAAGAAGACCCATCAAAGACTCCTCCACGGAAGAAGTTGAAATTCCAGGCCAAACATAATCAAATATATCTTAAGAAATGGGAAGATGTGTTTTCGTGGGTTAAGCCGGGACCAGATGAGAACTGGGCATTTTGTACGTTGTGTAGGAAGGATTTTAGTATTTCGCACGGTGGACAAAGTGACCTGAGGCAACATGCACAATACAAAAGTGCTAAGAGTTCAGTGAAATACAATTAACAGAATCTGATCGACCAGCCCTTGAAAGTTATAAATATGTAGTATTTAATATTTGTGTGTTCTACAAATGTGTGCTAGGTAATATTTTGTGCATTCTATAAATATGTAATAGGTCTACATAATATTTGTTTTGTTCTATAAATGTGTAGTAGGCCTATGTAATACAGATGTGTAGTAGCATTTTGTAAGTTATGTAGTATGTTGATTATGTGTATTTTATAGCCTATTAGTTGTGAAAAATGTCGTTATAAACAAGCAACGAGACATCACTCCTTTTTTTATTATACAAAATCTGGCAACCCTACTTTACCAGATGATTCATAGTTATAAAATACCCAATCTTCCACATGCTTTACAGTTCATATCCACATTTAGTGCTATATTAACCTTTAAGAGACGGCCATTTAAATTCCGGTAGTGGTAGCGGGACGGATTTAATTTAAATGCCTGCCACTGTAGAGTAATAAAAATTGTAATCATGTTACTCCAAATGCTGTGATTTCTACAATTTTTGTGATAAACAAACGAAATAAACGCTGCTTTTATCTAGAAAGAATATAGAATCAGTTATTGTAATTTACCGATTTTAAAATGTCTAAAAATTTTTACACTGATGCCAACAAAAATTTTTCCCCTCAATTTTGAACGTCTGTGCACAAAAATGCATATAGTTCCTGCACAAAACATTTCTGCAGTCTGAATGCCTGCTGGTGACATCATGCTCTAACTATGGCTTACATGGCAACAGGGGTGGAAGTTTATGCTTGCGTTCCTCATTCTCCAGTGCGTTAGGTTCCTTGGTATGAACGAGTGTGGGCGATGTCTACTCGTTCGCAGAAACACTGACTGTTTTATCTCATATATACCAAACAAGAAGTAGTCTGTTTTGAAATATAGCCGAGCAGTGTCAGAACGTTCAAGGCTAGCATTGTGTTTAGCTGTCCACCATGGCCTCGTATTTGGATGACGCTGACATTGACATTATAAATGACACCGATTCAGACTGCTTGTAACGATGACTCTGAGAGTTGCGAGGAAGAAAGTGAATCAGAAATTGAAGTCGATAAAGAACCATCATTTTCGTCGGCAACCTGGGGAACACCAAACCAGCGTGGCAAGAGGAGTGTGAATAATTATTCAGGTGGAGCTGTGGGCAAACTGTGGCAAACAGTTATAGCATCTGTCGTCGAACCTGGAAATGGACAAATAAACTATTTTTCCATCTCCTGGATCAGAACAGTTACATCCTGTTGTCACACAAAGAATTTCGTCTTGCTCTTGTGCGGAACATGCTGGAAGGGGTCCACTTCGCCCTCAACGGACCAGGGGTCGAACCCCTGCCGTTTCATTGGAGATACCTCGATTAGAGGAGCTCAAACAACATCACTGGCGGTTGATTTCGACGAAGAACCATCATCTTGGTCGGCAACCTGGGGACCACCATACCAGCATGGCAAGAGAAGTGTGAATAATTATTCAGGTGGACCTGTGGGCAAACTGTGGCAAACAGTTATAGCATCTGTCGTCGAACCTGGAAATGGACAAATAAACTATTTTTCCGTCTCCTGGATCTGAACAGTTACATCCTGTTGTCACAAAGAGAATTTCGTCTCGCTCTTGTGTGGAACATGCTGGAAGGGGTCCACCTCGCCATCAACGGTCCAGGGGTCGAACCCCTGCCATTTTATCGGAGATATCTCGATTATAGGAGGCCAAACCACATCACTGGCCAACTTCCTGTACTTCGCAATTGAGGTGTCGTGTGTGCTTTTCGCGTGGGAAACGAATAACTGTCTGGACAAAGTGCGTGAAGTGCGATGTCGGACACTGGATTTCCGGATGTTTCCAAGATTTCCACATGAAGCCAACAGTCCGTTAGACGATGCAGGTGGGAAGAGAGACAACTTATAAAGCTGGTGACCAAAACTCATGTAAGTAGAAAAAGAATTTATAACTTAAAATAAGATTTTAAAAAGTCGGCCGCACGCGTGGACTGCGCGACGACATATGGCATCATTCGTCCCCTTGACTTTATTTTGATGACGCCATATGGCGTCACTCGGCTCTTAAAGGTTAAGAAGCAAACTTGTAGAAGTAGGTTCAGAATTTGATCCCCACTTGGATCTGTTTGCAGATTTGTTTGCTCTCTGGTACACTTATCTCTACCAAATGAATTCTCTTCTGCCATTCTTCTGAAGTCAGTTGCATTATTTTCACCACACTAAATCATTCAACTTATTCTTTTTAATGCTGAACAAATTATTTGAGCTTGCTTTTGATTTGAAGCTAATGAAGTCATTGTTTGAAGTGGGTGTTACCACTTGGATAACCGTAACATAATACTGTTTATACAGACTTTTAAATATGAGTGATTTTGACAGGATTAACGTGTTCAAGGTAATTTGACATGCTGAGATAGATCTGCAAGATGGTCCACTCATTTGTGAAAATCCTATTGCCTGGTAACCATCATGTCTCGTCACATTAAGCATGGTTCAGATGTAAGCATTCTTGCAATGACAAGTTAGGGCGTGTGAAAGCAAACTCAAAAGTATAAATGTCTCAGAAATATAGTGCTTTCATTTTTATCCATCAGGCAGTAACAGAGAAAGAAGTTCTAGATTAGTACATGTATTGATGTATTCTTAATTGTCTGTAGCATAAATACTAGTAAATTTAATTGGGATAAAGTTTCATTCATTCCTGCTTGTTATGAGAACAACCTGTTGAATATTCATTGTTTCCCCTTTATTTTATTTCTGGTATTTAACCCTCAATCTTGGTTATGGATATTTGTGCAACAGTAGTAAGTCAGATTGTAAGAGATAGGCTACACATGCCAGTAACCACTGGTTACAAAGCCATTGTCTGCTGAGATAACAGTGGTCATTATTGAATTTTGAAAGCCCACATTAGGGTAGGTTCCCTCTGTGATCATTATTTTCATGACTTCCCTATCGCCGGGGGTAACAGAATCTGTCGTGTGGGTGCCCCCACCTCATAAATGAGTTATACACCCTTGCTAAGGTGGGCAGGCACCAAAGAGGACAAACAGCAGTTTCTTCTGTAACATGGTACTGATGTTTCTGGTGTTCCAGATTCTGTGCTGCCATTCACCGTGAACACTTTCCTTATGAGCGTGTTACATCTGCATACAAGTGGGTGCAGCCTGCACACACAATCACCCTTCTGAGTCCCATCACAGTTGTTAATCTGTTGCCATATGATCTGCACTATGCTGTGAAGGATGCGCCATCAGGCTCTGCAGGCCGTATCAAACCTGGACAGTCTGCATCACTTACACAGGTGGCATTACTGAAATAAGTGCTCTTGATTCTGAAGAAAATTTGTCTGTCACAAATGAATGTGTTTACATACTTGTTGTCACCTCTGCCTTCTAATTTTTTCATATTTCACTTTTTAATTTCTAATATGTTCATTATATGATATGAGAAAGTGTTGTCAAAGTGAAAAACTCAGTCTTGAGTCAGATTCACATGTTTTCAGCACCCCTGAACATGAAAAATTGGATTTTGGAATTGTATCTGTCTTTCTACATGTATGAGCACCTCATTAGCATGTGAATGGTTTGACAGATTTAATTAATATTTGGTAATTTGATAATTCATCCATCGTAAGTTGGTGCTTGAATGTGAACATTCTGGCTGCAAAGATATAACCCCCCCCCAAAAAAAAATGCAGTGTTCTCAATATTCACTAGCAGGTTTGATTAAATTTCAGTTTTCAGTGGAGACTTTCTCCCTAAGTGAAACCGCTTAAGTGATATCTTCATCAGAAATATGGTATACCTGCTGTATAAGAAAATATGTCCTGTGCCTGATTTTTTAACACCGTGAATACAGCTTTCACAGATCAGATTATCTGTTCAAATATCAGTGACATAGTAACTTCACTGAAATTCTACAAACATGAGTAGAGTAGGCTCTTTCATTATGTGCTTTGTGGAATAACCATGGAACTTCCAGAACTCCTTAACTAACTCTGTGAAGCTGAGTCCTTAATGAGAAGCCAAAGGTTGTTAAACCTTCAAGAACTTCAAAGCATTTTATGGAACCCAAGGGTTCATTACTATGTTCACAAGAGCTTGCCGCTGGTCTCTGTCTTGAGCCAAATGAATCCAGTCCAAACCCCTGTCCTATTTCTCTAAGATCTTGTCATCACATCCAATTTTAGATGTCTCTGGTGATCTCTTTCCTTCAGGTTTTCCTACCAGAACCCTGTGTGGACTCCTCAAGAAGCATGTCTAGCAAGAGTGGGTAGCAAGGTTTTGTTTCTACAAGTTCCTCATTGAAGAACCTGCAAAGAAAAAGTTATTTTTTTCAACAGAAATTTTTACTTAGTACAATTTGTCCATAAATAAATTTGCTTCAGTGTGTCTGCCGTTGGCAACTTCCAGAATTAAGGAGTTCTGTAGTGGCTCTTATTCTCACCGTGCCATGTAGAAAATAACATGGCCTCTTGTGCCCTAAATGTATATGGTCCTCATTAATGTCTGGCACTTGCACTGCAGTTCTCATGTTCCACATCTGCCCTTACTGAATGCTTGTGCAGGATCAGCCTCTCCCCCACCCTGCTTCATTGTGTTGCATTATGGTTATGGTCTCCTCCATGCTTTTGTTTGGAACATCTGTGCAGTACAATCCCATGCATATGAAGCCTAGGTATGAGTCAGTTTTGCATAGGCATTGTCTTCACCACCAGCTTCAGCGATCTCTGCAGGCATGTGGCAGCTGTTTGTGTGAACTCTTTCATCTCCATTGCCACATAACCAAGACCCAAAATATCTGATCTGGCTTAGTGACAGTAAGCAGCTGTCAGTTGTGTGATAAGCAACATGAAGGTCACGTTTGAAATGACAGTTATCATTATAAAATTTGGGGCTTTCAAGTAATTAGTCTCAGAGTAGCGGTGGTTGTCCTGTGAACACAGCTGCATACATACAGAGCAATATTGATATGTGAAACATGGCATACATGAGCCAGCAGTTCATTGAACTTACAAGTAAATAGCCAGAATGAAGTTACATTAAAAAGGACTTTTTCAACATTAGTCTGGAGTTCATTATTTCCAGATCAGAATTTTTCCTTCTGACAGGCAGAGGAGTGCAACAGCAAAGAACATCTGAAACTGTTATATTAAGCAGAAATACTTAACTCTTGTATTTGAAGCAAATTAATGTAAAGTAATTGTTGTTTTAAGTATTCATTTATTCATGCATTGTTAATGACAGAATGACTGTCACAGGTGGATATCGAGAAAGTTGTGGAGTTGTGTTTTCATCTTGAGAACTTCCCTCGTGCGGGAACGCTGGTAATTCCCATGGCAGCACATACATTCAGCTCCGTAGTGCGGCTACATGATCTGCAAGGGCGACGCCTGTACCTTCATGCAAATGTGGTGTGCAAGAGAGGAGCAGGTCTCAAAGTAAGGCCAAGTACAGTGAACATCCATCTTATGAGTACTTCCTTTCACTCACGTTATGGGAAACAGAAAATGCAGAATTAATGATTGAACTGTTCATAACTTCATGCCATGATGTAATTTTTCTTTGTTTACCTTTGTTGTTAGTGCATCTTGAACCTACAGCAGTGCTATTCATGTTGCACACTGTTTTGTCCAAATAGACTTCTCTGTGTTGTGTTATTGTTACAACTTTTCGCAGATTTTCATTTTTGATATACAAGTTTTCAGGCTCAGAAGTTTGCTTCATGAAAGCATTAAAAAAAAAGAGAAGTTCTGGGAAGAAATTCATCGCCTACTTCCCTTTGATGTGACACAAACCATATAGGGAACAGTGCCTGCAACAATTCTTCTTTACCATGGGAACTTGGTTATCAAGCCATTTCCTTGCAATGATAGGGGGATACACAGACTGATGGGAGGGACTTATGAAGTACACCATTCAGATGGGCTCAGGTGCCATGATATACTTACCAAGTGTTATAAAGATTGGTTCAGGCATTCAGAAGCTGATAGGAGTGTTACACAGACAGGATGGAGATCATATAAGCCTACATTTATTTTTTTAAATAAGGAAAGTAGGCCAAAAACAGTATGTTATTAGAGGTAACAATAAATTACAAAGTATAGCAACAAATGCAAATCAAGAGGTGAATAACAAATGAAGCAATGTAACAAGATGGACATGCAGTGTGCCTGCCCCGAGAGATGCAGTGCATGTTGATTTCCCACTGGAAGAAGGAATGAGTCAAGCCAGAACTGTTTGGAAATAGGAGTGTGCTGTTTAGACAAGTGGCTGTCAGTCTTTGAGCAAGCCTTCATCAAGAGTTGAGGGTACAGGAAAGGGGGGTGGGATGCATGCTCTAAGGGGTACTTTCATAAGAAAATGTAAACAAGTTTCTGTTCAGATAACCACTGCAAGGGCTGCATGCATCCGTATACATGGCACAGAAGAATTTCGCATTATGTCACAACATCAGTAACCTGATATTCTGTTTAGGATCTGAGGTTCTCACAGAGGTGGTTATGAAAAGTTCTGTGTTCTGGGATATAGCGGTGTGTAGGATCTGAGGTTCTCACAGCAGTGGTTATGAAGAGTTTTGTCTTATGGGATATAGCGCTATGTAGGATCTGAGGGTCTCGCAGCGGTGGTTATGAAAAGTTCTGTGTTCTGGGATATAGCGCTCTGTAGGAACTGAGGTTCTCACAGCGGTGGTTATGAAGAGTTCTATCTTCTGCGATATAGCGCAGTGTAGGGTCTGAGGTTCTCACAGGGGTGGTTATGAAGGGTTCTATCTTCTGGGATATAGCGCTCTGTAGGAACTGAGGTTCTCACAGGGGTGGTTATGAAGGGTTCTATCTTCTGGGATATAGCGCTCTGTAGGAACTGAGGTTCTCACAGGGGTGGTTATGAAGGGTTCTATCTTCTGGGATATAGCGCTCTGTAGGAACTGAGGTTCTCACAGGGGTGGTTATGAAGGGTTCTATCTTCTGGGATATAGCGCTGTGTAGGATCTGAGGTTCTCTCAGTGGTGATTATGAAGGGTTCTATCTTCTGGGATATAGTGCTGTGTAGGGTCTGAGGTTCTCACAGTGGTGGTTATGAAGGGTTCTATCTTCTGGGATATAGCGCCGTGTAGGGTCTGAGGTTCTCACAGCGGTGGTTATGAAGATTACTATCTTCTGGGATATAACTTTGTGTAGTCCATTGAAAGTCAACCTATGTTCCAGAGGAACATATCGCCTCCTTCAGGGTCAAATAAGCAAAGCAAGATACCAATGTGAAAGCAGTCAGCTTGCCACCTGCTTTCACACTGGTATCTTGCTTCGCTTATTTGACGCTGAAGACAGAGGCAATGTGTTCGTCCAAAACATTAGTTGACTTTTAACTGACTACTTGTCATTATATCCCAGAAGATAATACTTTTCTGATATTCTGTTGTCTTCCTTGGCTGACAGTCATTGTGGATGTCGTTCTTTTCTTGTTTCAGAGTTAAACAGAATCGCATGTGAAAGAATCACAAAGTAAGAGCTTCTCTTTTGCACGCATACTGTTTCTTCCACCTTTGTGTCATTTTGTAACCATCTTGAGCTCATTCTTTCTCTTGGGCATTTTCCTCTTAGTTTCAAGTTTAAAATTTTCTTTGGGTTTCCCTCTTTGTTCACTCTTAGAATGTACCCATACAGTCTTATTCTGTTATTTATTAAGATGACTTGTAAAATATTTATCTGTAAATTCTCTCTAATTTTTTCGTTCTTTATTTTATCTCCCAGTTTTTCCATGTACAATTCTAAAATCTCTTCTCTCTCACAAAGGTAATATAGCCAATGTTCAGTATTCCATGCCTCATTTTGTTGTAGCAGTGATCATGTCCTCCAGTACTGTTACATATGTTTTATGTCTTACAAATTTATGTGAAATATTTTGGTTACATTATAAGACTGTATTGCAACACTTCTTGCTGTAGCGTGTGGGTACAGATGGTGACGTCCATAGTCCACTATGAATAGACTGTATGGTTCTAGTTTCTCTAACCAAAATTGATCACATTGCTAGCAAATATTAATCAAGTGATGGCATTGTTAGAACAACAGACTGAGAGTGAGCAACTTCATTTGCTGCATCTGATTAATATAAAACTACATGTTGCAAAAAATGCAGTCATCAGTTACAGCAAACTGATTATGTGAATGTTTCTGTAAGGAGGCATAAATCTATGTAATTCAGCAGTGTGTGCCAGTAGCATTGGTGGAACATAAATTTTAAATGTACCTTAAATTTCATGTATTTTAATGACTGGATAAATGTACATAATGTCAGGATTCCAAAATTAGATAAATGTCAATTTCACATGCAGCAGGGGTACTGAAGCTGTCCCCTGAAACCTGCAAAATATGTAGAGGGTTTCATCGGAAGCAATGATGTGCTGTGAAAGTAATGGTATGAGCAAGTGCTTGTGTGGTGGGAAGTGCTGGTTATTTATATGATCTCTTATAAATGCAAGAAGATAAAATTCGTGATCTAGATTCTCTACCAAAGAACAGAAAATTGTGATATGCTGAACATGTTAATTTCATTGTTTTGGTGATTAGTTCTAATGATTTAGTGAGTGTGATTCATAATCACAGTGCATGTATTTCACTGGGTGAAGATGGTGCAGCCTCCTACATGTCATTATGCAGTATCATGACCACTTAAACATTTATGGTGAAACTGTAATATAATTGGGAGTGGAAAGTGTTGATATCATCAGCCTGTGCGTGAATTTAAACCTTCAGGCATATATGATGGGAATCACAGCAGTTATGTTCATTTAACATCATTTGCCGTGAGGCCATTTAAATATTCCCTAATAACAATCTGTACCTATGTTCCGCATGGTTGAATTTTATCTCTCCTTTCAGGTGTCAGTAACAGCTCCGTTCTGGATAATCAACAAGTCAGGCCTCCCATTAGTGTTTCGGCAAGAAGGGGTGCCAACAGAGACAGCAGCTGGTCAGTTTGAGGAACATGAAGTTGCTCGTATGGTTGCCCCACTGCTTTTCTCATTTGCAGACCATGAAGCTAGTCCCACTGTGGTGGCTCGTGTTGGCAGTGGGGTCCATCCAGAGGGAATACCACAAGTAAGGTTTTTTTTTATTATTATTATTATTATTATTACTTGGTTGGATGGAACTGAGTACACTTGGTACTGCGGCCACTTCTGGCCTATTGTAACAGCCCCAGATGATAGGCAAGGATGATTGTGGAGCAATCGGTGGAATGAAGATTGGCAGGTGAAACCGAAGTACTTGGAGAAAACCTGCCCCAGCGCAACTTTGTCCACCACAAATCCCACTTGACCAGACCCAGGATCGAGCCTGGGCCGCCGTGGTGGGAAGCCAGTGACTAACCGATTGAGCTTTGGCATGGCCACAGGTAAGGGTTACTATCTTTTGTAATAGGGACAGCTGGTAATTCTCTCTTGGCAGTGGAATCAGTAATTTTAAATTTCATAAATAGCAGATTTCATGCATGCCATTTTTTTTTTTTTGGAAAATAAGATAAACATAAATTTTAGAAGGAAAATTTTGGGAAAACGCCTTATATACCTCCACACTCTAAGGAACATGCAGATTTTGGACAACATTTTCCAAGAAAAAAATGTCTTCATCTGCACTTGTAAGTGCAGAAGACATCTGGAAAAGTTGCTGACAGAGTGATCTCAGATAGGAATGGTGAAAACTATGATGAGTTTGGCAAAGGCATGGGCAGGACATGGGAATGTAGTCCTGCAGAAGGAAGGAAGGAAGGAAGGATTTTGTTTCACAACAGACCTCATGAACATTGCATACAGTGTTGACTTCTAGTTACAATGATGTGGATATTGAAACCTCTCTTAATATGATTACTCAGCATAAATACACTGTCATCCAATTAGGATGTACAGAATTTGTTTACTTATTTATGTATTTATTTTTGTTGTAGTGGTGTCAGCATTTCCACCTACACAAAGGTATACAAGTTCGCCGCCTACGTGTATCATTGCGTGACTGTCGTCCAGACATTATGTATGTGATCGGGATTAATGTTCGTCCAGGGAGAGGTCGCTACCGGTCGACTAATATTGTCACGCTGTCACCCAGATTTCAGTTACATAATAAATCTACATACCAACTTCAATTTGCCCAACGCTGCTTTGCTACAACTTTGGTGAGTTACCAGTTTTATTCTACTGAAGGCACATAACTCAGTCAGGTGCAACACTTATGATACAAAAGCTTTCCTTTGGACCCAATCCTGATTATGTGCAGTCCAGCTCCTGTCCTTTAAGATAAGATTTAAAAGCTTGTGATGGTTGTACATTAATACAAATATTATGTTTCAGGACATTACCGATCATCCTGTTTTACATAAATACAGGATGATGCCCTATCCTTTAAGCATGTTTTCCTTAATTGAATTTTAATATTATCTCTTATTCACGTGCCTGCATTCCAAGGGGTTTTCCCACCGAACTTCTGTATGCATTCAGTTCAGAGTGGTATGAACCTCTGACTCCCTTGTCATGTGATAGCCTCAGCTCCCTTCTTACGTCATCTCTCCATAAATTGTAAATTTTCTAAGCTCTGTGTTGTTGAATGCTTACTATTTATTAGTCTTGTTGAATGCTTACTATTTATTAGTCTTCCCTTAGTGTTAGAAACTGCTCTCAGTTTTGGTTTATCATCATCATCATCATCATCATCATCACCACCACCACCACCACCACCACCATCATCATCATCATCATCATCATCATTGTGACGGAATAATCACTTGCTAGACAGTGGCTTGTTAAAACATGTTTCCGGTACAACAAGCTGGAGCAGTCCATTACTGAGCCATGCTAGGTAAACACTGCCTGAAAGCTGGAATAGTGGAGCCAGACAAGGAATTATCTGTTTTACTAGGCATCTGTTCATGCACATTTCCGAGACATTCATGAAGAAGAGTAATAGGACTTTTGGAGGCGGTGACTTCCATTCAGGCCACGCAGAAGTTACAAAAGACAGTGGATTCGTGAGTACAAGGAGTAGTAGAGATCAGTCTGAAATTAGTGAGAGATTAGCAAGAGATTCAGACAGCAGTCAGAGGTTCTTCATAGAGATTCGCCAGACATTCAGAAGGAGTTCAATGTGTGAGCTGTTATAATTCACTGTAATTTATATAAATAAAAATGTAACTTTTGGTTTGGCTCTCCTCGAAGATCTCCGAAAGTTCTTCACCGATTGCCTCAAAATTTTGACACAACGTTGCATTCGAACACGCGCATGTTTTTATATGCCTATTGTGTAGATGTCACACCTGTGACAGGTAAAAACAGGTAAAAGTATTAATTGTATTCAATATTAATATACTGTAACATGTTATACGTCGAATACCAACAGATCGTTGCCTAGGAATAACCGTGGCAACGAACTGTTGAAACAGCGGGTCATTGCCTAGGAATAACCGTGGCAACAAACTGTTGAAACAGCGGGTCGTTGCCTTGGAATAACCGTGGCAACGAACTGTTGAAACAGCGGGTCGTTGCCTTTGAATAACCGTTGCAACGAACTGTTGAAACAGCAGGTCATTGCCTTTGAATAACTGTCGAAACGAACTGTTGAAGCATCACATCGTTGCCTTAAAATAACCGTGGCAACGAACTGTTGAAACACCGGGTCGTTGCCTTGGAATAACCGTCGCAACGAACTGTTGAAACAGCGGGTTGTTGCCTTGGAATAACCGTGGCAATGAACTGTTGAAACAGCGGAAATAATGCATTTCTGCAGCAACGAGCACAGAACACATGAAATGGAACCCTCGGCGAAAGTGCCCTCTATTGCATCCGAAACTGGGTTATAATAGTCCAGCTCCGAAGAAATTTTTGGTGATACTGGACGTGATAATAATTGTGCTCGCTGGTGTAAAAGTGAGCGTTCAAAAACTTATTCACTGAATTGGAGACATGCGTGGAAGTTATTTCGTAAGTACAGTTTATTTTTCGTTGTTTTTCTTTTCGTTTTCTAAGAACAAGCTTAGGTTGTACTTGCATAGCGGAAGCAATGCTTCGAGTAATTTCAAATCAAACTGGGGAAGAACAGGCAGACTGAGCCACAGCAAGGCATGGCCGGGCACACATAGTTCTAAATAAATACTAATAAATGCAATTATCAAGTCCAGAACCCATTGTTATTCATCATGCAGACACCTTACACATGCCATTATTGTTGTTGTTGTTGCTGCTTCTGGTGCTTTTGTTGTTGTTTGATTTAGACAAGGTGGTAAGAGATCTTGATATATATGGTAATAAGCATTTCTGAACGCATTCCTCACCCGGTTCCATCTTAAACTCATTTCCAGTACAGTATAATTTGTAAATGAAACACAGCAGTCCTTTATCAACTGTGAATTTCAAGTATCAGCAGGACCCCATTTGTGGTATTCATTTTTCCCATCTGTGGAGTCTGATTTCAAGATCCTGCAGTATTTGTTTGCACATGGAAAACATCTTTGTTCTCGCAAGAGATTAACATGTGCTGGAGTTAGGGCTGTAATGACACCAAAAATCAGTGTTCCAGTTTCCTGAGCATTGTTGCACTGTGTGTCTCTGTATCACATTCTTTGTGTTTAGTGAAGGAGCAGGTGTTACATGTAGTGATAACAGTTATTCAGTAACATAATCACTGAGCATATTGTCATATGTTAGTCACTAGACACATGATGTGGACTGCATATTGAATTTATTGAATGCTTATAACTCATAAGTAGATTAATCATCATTAATCTACAAATGGTACAAATTGCTGTAGCACAGGGAGGCTCTGCTTGCCACTTGCTGGTTTCTTGCTTGGCTTATTAATTGACCCTGAAAGTGGAGGCAACATGTCCCCCCAAAACATCAGTTGACTTTCAACAGACTACATGGCATTACATCCCAGAAGGTAGAATTCTTCATAACTACCTCTGTAATATCCTCAAATGCTGCAGAATCTAGTAACTCTAAGGAAGGCATGATTGCCTGTATCACTATCTGACACACCTTCGAGAATGTTTCAGATGGACAATAACAGAGTGGCTGTTGGCTTTGCAGGAAATGGAGAGTCCTTTGGTGCTTCCATTCCAGACTCTTGCATTTTCTCGCAGGTTTGTTACATTGGCTTCCTGTTCCTTCTTCAGTAATTATGGAGTTTGAGAAACTATTGCTTCATTTAGCCATATCCAAATGGTCTTTCATCAGCTACTTGGCACCCATCACACAGGAACTTTGTGAACACTAAAGTGTTTATGAACTGGGAAGTGCACAGATTTGTAACTAATGCCCAATTTTGGTGTAGTATCTGTAGTCATAACTCACTGTAGATCATTGCTTCCGCCTTCTTTTTGATGTTATCAGCAGTCAATGTCCAGGTCTCTTATGCACGCCTTTAAACAACAACCTTGTGTAGCCGTTATTAAACCTTTTGACCCATCTTCACACCTTCCACTCTGTCATACACCTATCATCTTGTCCATTTCACCTAACATCTTCCAGTGAATTCAGCCACATTCACACCTTCCTACCCCTTTTCTCTGTTGAACCTAGGATGTGATGCTTTGAAGTCTCATAGATAGGTACATATTGTAACATGTTTTGCTACTGAAGACGCAGTTTGGATTGTTAATTAGTTTATTTAACAACCTACAAGTTGTAACTACAAATACTTATGACACTGTTATGGGTTTACACACTTTACAAACCCTACTCACAAATCTCTTCACACTATCTTCAGTACAACAGATGTTTCATTCTTCTTCCCGCGACTGCTTCTATGTTTCAACTGACTTATGACGTCTTCTTCGCGTTCACAATTCACTCGCTACAGCTCAACCTGGCAACTGATAAGACTTCACCTGTATTCACCTCTTTACGCATTCCAGTCTCCCTTATAAACCCTCAGTCAGACAGCGAAAAAATCACATCGCTTCACTGTTGCGTAAATGCTGTGTTTGCAGGCGTTGCTGGGCAATGCTGCCGAGAGTTGTTTAGTGCTGTGTAGCAACCAGTGTGCTTTGGCTTGGCTCAGCTTGGCTCACTTTGGCTCTGCTTGGCACAGTACAGGGAAACACCACTTTCCTTACTGTTATGTAACCTCATTTCCGCTGTTGCATAACTTGGCAACCGACCGTTTATCAAGGGTCTGTCTTTGTGGCAACTTGTTCCATCTCCCGTTACCCAGCAATGGTTAGACATATCACAGTATGTTTCAGAGAACCCTGCTACCTTCCTCAAGGTGCAGCAGGCAGAAGGTTCTTTCTAAACACTGCTACCTCTCAGTCAGCCTATATGGCTTCACGTCCTAGGTTACCATAATCTTATGATATTGAAAAGTTTCCTTATTTACTCACCCTTATATTTGTGTAGGTTAGAAACAACTGTTTGAATGTTTTTGAAGACATGCACTAAAAGGGTTAATTTGTATCCTTCAGAATGATCCAGGTGCTCAAGCCACATACTTGAATGCTGTTCCTGATTGCTGTTTACCATTCCACTGGCCTCGTCTTGACAAAGAACAGTTGTTATGTGTGCAGCTGTTGGACGTGCCAAACTGTCTGTGGTCTGGAGGCTTTCTTATTGATACTAATGACTCCCTGCAAATTAACGTGAGGTGAGTAAATTTGCACTATCTGAAATCATGGTTTTTATTAGATGTTGTTTACTCCTAGTGTCCATAATTTTCCCCCCCCAAATATTTTACATTATGGGATTGGCTAAGGCATGGGGATGTGACATTTTTCTGAAGGCTACAGTGGGACACTGAACAATAAATGACAGGAAATATTTTAAGGAATAGCTGGCATAGTGGTTACAGAGTACTAGCCATTACTTACATGTTCCAGATGACTTCCATGACATTACATACGTTGCCATATACACCCATGACAATTTGGCGGTGACAGCTTAAGCCTTTCTGAGCTTTGCGGGGCAAGGATGACAGAAGCTAACCTATTGTAGTATGCAGTATTCTATATAAAACACTGGTGGATCCACTCAGCTTACATGTAAAATTATGCTAAGTGTGTGGTACAGAAACTGTCTATAAACAAGACCTGAAGATGGCATACATGTTGAAACATGTTGTCTTAGACAGCAACGTCATCTTCAGGAAACAGTGTTATGTTGACAAAGAATTCTGAACATATTATCTATGTTGTTATATTTCATAATATTTGAGGGGATATATATATATATAGTGTGTGTATGTCTCAGACCAATTGGCAAGGTGATTCTGACTCAGGGATGCAGGTTCTGTGCAGACATTTCAAGGACATTATGCTATCCCATCACCTAGTAATGTCTAGTATTGTTTTTTGAAATTAAGTAATTACAAACACAATTTGTTAATACCGAAATGACATTGTTATTATTAAAATAAGGAAAGGGATGTCCTGTACAGCACAAAATACTCAGTTCTGAGTAAGTGCAAGAATGTTCTGAATCTTTTTGTATAAAATTTCAGGCATTTCTTTGTTTGGAAATTGTGTTCGATTGATGCAGTTTCATCCCCTGCAACTTTCTTTCTAACAAAACTGTCACATGAATTGAGGAGAATCTGAATGTTTAAATGTGTGTCACTATACAGTTATCACATGTACAGTGCAGAAGATAAAATAGCAAGGAAAAAACTTCATTTCAATGATTGAAGTGTATAAGTACTGGAAGCTACTGACTTACATTGTCAGTCATCCCAGTGGCACAATTTCAAGTGAAATCAAGCTACATCTTAGGTCTGTTAATGTTAAACTGGCAAACACAACATGATATTTAATGGATGTGGTGTTTATGTTGCTAACACTCTATCTGTGCATACTGTATCATCCTCACAGAGACACTGAGGGCAAGATGCACTTCCTGAGGGTAGAAGTGGTCCTTCAAGATGCAACGTACTTCATAGTGTTCACTGATGCTGATATCATCCCTCCAACAGTACGTTTGGACAATTACTCTGAGGTGCCACTCCAGTTCCATCAGGTATGGCTTGTCTGTCTTGTGAAGCTTACTGAACACTGAGCGTAGCTGTGTGAGATTTATGGTGTGATCTTGTGGGCTATGACACCATGTGAGTGGTAGTCTTGAAGTTGGAGGCCTGTCTTCCTTTGGAACACTGCTCTTGATCAATCTCACAGACACCAGAGAGTCATAATGCAGCATCACTGCATCAAGTATATGTATAATTTCAGAATTATTTTTTCAGTGCACATGCAGATTAATTTACTTGTGTGTTAAATAATTAACAACCATACACGCACAAAATTCTGCACTGCAGTTTCAGAATTTTTTTTTTCCAGTGGGTACTTATATTTAACATCTCTAGGTCCTTGGCCTCACACACATCATTTTTGTGAACTTTGGATGACACAGTTCTTGTGGGGTCTATCTCCTATCTATCTTTATTGATGTTTTTCCTACTTGCAGCATAGGGCATCCATGAAATGCTTCATTTTGCTTAAGTTTCTTAATTCTAGACTGTTGGTAGAACTCCTTGGATGGGGGATCACCCCATCACAAGGTTTCTACCTACACAGGAAAACACAAACACAGATTATGTGCAAACAGACATCCATGCTTTGAGTGGGATTTGAACCCATGATCCCAGTGTTTAAGCAGGCAAAGACATTTCTTACCCTAGACTCTATGGTTCTGTGATCAGCTCTTGTGGGATAGGCCATATGAAACACAGATGGATACGCAGACAACGCAGTGATCTCATAAGCCTCCTTTTACTTTTTTTTTTCCAAAATAAGGAAATTAGGCTAACAAGAAGTTTGGAGAAGAACTCATAACCTGCTTCCCCGTGATATGACAGACCTCACAAAACAAAATAGCAGCGATAGTGGGGAACACACATGAACACAGACAGCAAGGTGATCTCGTAAGCCTCCTAACAAAATTTAAGGGGGGTACACAGACAGCTGGACAGACGTGGATGGATAGACAGACTGCATTTCAAACTAAGAAATGTAGGCTAACAAGAAGTTCTGTGAGATCAAGAACTGGTCTGCCACCATAAAGGAAGAGCATTGATTGAATATTTCTGAAAACAGGAACTGAGGAAAGTATTTGGGTGTGAGAGGAGGAAGATGATATGAGGACCAAGAACACTGCACAGTGAGATAGTAGCAGTCTTCATTCTGTCACAGTGGGAACCTCAGCTCTCATAAGGGCTTCATATCATGTGAAATGAAAAGGACATATAGTACTCTGGTGTATAAGAAGGCAATAAGATTTTGTTGGAAAACTTTAAAGAAAGAACTGGCCTTACATGGGGCAACTGTTATCTTCTCAAGAAGAATTTAGTTTCATACAGATTATCAGTCAGTCAGGCCGGTCACGGTAGCTGAGCGGTCTAAGGCATGCACTGTCTTCACTCGCTTGGAAGCCGGGATCGTGGGTTCGAATCCCACTCAGGGCATGGATGTTTGTGTGCGTTTTTCTATGTTTGTCTACAGGTAGAGGCCTTGCAACGAGCTGATCACTTGCCCAAGGAGTCCTACCGATGTTTAAGATATAGTAAACCAAAGTGAAACGGAGAGTTTCATGGAGGTAGGCCTAGGCCCAAATTGGGGCTGTAGCGCCACAGAAAAAAAAAATCAGTCAGTCAGTCAGTCCACTTGGTTAGTTTGGTGAAATCTGTGTTAAATTATACTGGATTGTGATTTCCAAAGTGTTGCATGGGTTTATACTGCCAGAATGCATGTATTTGGTATGTTCTGTGTAAATAATTAATTGTATGTTTGTTTATTTTGGTTCTAATTCAGAGTTGTGTAACAGCTGAGAGTTTGCTGTCGACAGTTCGCCCCCATTCATGTGTACCATATGCATGGGATGAACCAACGTTACCCCACAGCATCACCCTCCTTGCCCCTGGAGGAGCAGCAGCCTCTTATGACATGAAGTCCTTAAGGGAGGACCATGAGGCTCAAGGATTAACCTATGAAAATTTTATCTACATAGCTTTCACAGGAACATTCAAATCGTAAGCTTATTTCAGCAGTGGACTTTAGGAGAATTGTGATCATGCTTGCACGGCACCGGTATTCAATTCCTATTAGTGCAGCTAGCAACTTGATTGAACTTCCTGAAATCAGTATCTTTCAGTTACAAATATCATATACATTAATTTAATGAAATTGGCTGTATGTTGCATTTATGCAACAGTGTGCTAATGATAGTCCTGCAGTATCATGACATTGGAATACCCCTCTATTTTGAGCTGTGTTTCTCCTCTTCTTTGAGGAAGTGATCCTCATGTTTGTGGCAGGGCCATATTCAGAAACATTTGGCAGTCAGACTGGATGCTCATAATATGCTGATGACAGTGAGAGAGGAGGAAATGGGGTAATTAAGAGCACAGTAGAATTTGGTTCTTACGAATGCATTTTCTTACATATGTTTTAGCAGGAACTATTCCAAAGATGTATATAATTTTTCAATACCAATGCCGTTACCAGCTGAAACCTTTGAGTTAAAATCTGTCGGCCTTCCCTGTAGTATGATTTGTTTAAATTTCCCCTTCTGGGTAGTAAAGTTTAAGGAATCACATGTCAGAACACATGATCACTTGGAACTGTTTGAGCATTTTAAGTGGCCTATGGCTCCAGGAGGTGCTTGTAACACTGATTGAACCCTGAGTGCTGAGCCCAGTTAAAGTGATGCAGGAGGGATTGGTGACTGATGTACAGTTAGCATATTTTTAAATTGTTATTTGTATTCTGTTGTCATTAGTGGAAGAAGAAGGATTATAAACTTTTTATGAATTTATTATAGATTGGAAGTTAAAAATTACAGTATTCCGGAATGTGACACCATGTAGTACGGTAAATATGTACCAGTGTTTTGGAGGAACGTTCCATTTTAGATCTGCCCTGAAGATGGAGGCAGTGAGTTCCTTTAGAATGTAGGTCAGCGTGTGCCAACTGTACAGCATCATGCCCTAGATCATGTGATACTGATACATTGTGAGATATCGAGCTCCATAAATAGACCCAACCACCTGCCAAAATTATTTATCCTAAATTCTTCTCACATAACATAATGGAAACTTGAAGTACAGACAAGGCACTATTTTGCTTTCATACATTTTGAATACTGAAGAAGATTTGAGGTTTGTTATGGCAGTGGACATTTATTCAGTTTTATGACACCGTGTAATCTGGTATCAAAATTGTAGAAGAATGAATTACCTCCATCATCAGACAGGTTACCCTGAAGATGAGACAATATGTTCCTCCAAATGTTAGTATCCACCTGTTAGGCTGCAGTACCCATGGTCTCATGACTCAGATGACCACAGTTTAAAACTGTGCTTTTTAGATTTGCTTCAAGCACAGTGAAACCATAAATACATTATTATCAGTTCTCACTAGTAAATTTAAATATGCTTAAGTACTGTATAGAACTTGTATTCCCTGTTAAGAACTAGAAATTATTGCAGCTGTCAGTAAAAACGAAATATGTGAGACATTTACTGCTCTCTGTCACATCTCTGTTAGTGGAAACTTGCTGACAAGTTCTGAACAGTTAATCCCATCAGCCCTTGCATTACACACTAGTGACAAGCATTATCCATGAACCTAAAATGGAACTAAAATCTTGTTGCAAATGCATAGTTTGCAGCCAGTGAATATAAGACCAAGGAAACAAGTGAGCCCTGCTTTTGAAAAGAATCTCTTTCCCATCTGCTAAATTATCCATTGCTCTGTCCATCTGCATCATCACTGCTTGCCAAACAATAAACACACAGCAGATGTTATGAAGTGCATGAAAATGGTTTCTTTACAGTACCTTCAGTTTCTATTGAAAACAGAGTTCAGTGGAAGTGCAATTGGCAAGTGCAAGGTCTTCAAAGATTGATTTAGGCTTTTATGAACAGCTGCAATAACTTCTGGTTTTTACTAAGGAATACTGGTTTTGTCTATTGTGCTGAGGGGTTTCTAGTTTTTACTTATGAGAACTTGTCATTTTCAGTCTTTTACTATAGTATATATATATATATGGCAATGGAAGATGGTTTGTGCTTAATTTGCTAAGGCTCTTGATGCATTTATCTAATTCACCCCTTGAACAGTAACTGTGACTGCACCATCACTTCTTGGAGAGTACCCAGTAATACCTGTGACTGCTCTGTCACACATCCTGTCCCTCAACTAATCAGTAATTGTTACACTATATATGATAGTATGCATAATGCTCACCAGTTGGTACAGCATTATGAAATCATTAGATTATCACTGATCCTTTTTTTTTTATTATTATTGGAGGGGGTTGGTTTCCCCATGCACTACAATTAATAGTCTATTGTGCGTCCCCCTTTGATATTCTACCAGTCGCCATACCCTGCCGATACTGGTGCTAGCTATCAGCCCCGTTCAGCCAGTGAGGCTGGCTGTGATACCCGATAACTTCCCCATCTACCAGAGGCACTGGAAACTACTTGGGCAGGAAACTTTACATAATTTTGCTCAGATGTCTCCTAGAGACATGAGGATCTTTTACGTGCCGTAAATCTACGACATGGCACCCACGGCTTAAAGTCCCTCCCGGAGGACTTGTTCCATGACCTCCGCCAGGTTTGAACCCGCGTACCTTGAGTCATGAGGTGGGAACGTTACCCCTAGACTATGGAGGCCACTATCACTGATCCTTACTGCCTGATAGTGATGTCACATGGGAAATATAATACAACTTTTCAGAGCCAAACTGTCATGTTCTGTGTAAAATAATATTTCAGAATGCCCTGTGTCATTATGAGTCAGGATAGCCCTGTAGCATGTTTTGTGAAGAGATGATAATGATGATTTATTATTATTATTATTATTATTATTATTATTTTATTTTATGTTTAGCGGTGATACACAGGAAATAGGAGGAGCAAATGCGTGTTACAACCCGTTAGATGTGGAGAGCCAGCAGTTGGTGCTGGACGTACCTGAAGGAAATAGAGTTGTTCTCAGCAGCAAGGAGAAGGGAGCACGCTCACAGTTGTGGCGAATGACTGGAGAAGGGCAGCTCCAACATGAAGGCAGCAGTCCACCTAGGGACCCACGTTCAAAGCACAGTGTTCACAGTGATGACCGAATATTGGTATGTTGAGGATATGGAAAATTTAAATATTTTGGAGTCACAGTAACAAATGAGAATTACACTCAACTAGAAATTAATAGGAGATTAAATGTGGGCAGTGCTTGCTGCATTAATTTCAGAATATTTTGTCTTTTCTGTCTGCTTCATGAAAATGTAGAAGATTAAATTATACAAAACTATAATTTTGTTTGTTGTTTTGTGTGAGTTTTGAAACTTTGCCTCCCACCATACTGGAGGGACACGAGAACAGGAGGCTGGAGAGAATGGCCTGGTTAAGAAGGTCTGAGTTTGTATTATCATTGGCAGAGTGGTCATATTAACATTTAAATGTGAGAACGTAATTTGCATAGGTAGTAGTATGAAACTTCCTTCTGCTGCTAGCACCATCAGTGGACTGAAACCTGAACCCCAGGACTAAAATCACGTAGAGACAAACGAAGAATCTGTCAGATCATGCTGACCTTCCTTGTGACTTGGTAACCTCATTGCTGATGGGAGAAATGTCCAGACTGGGTTGGCTGATTGGATTGGTTGAGCATGCCATATGGGCTAATTCCTTGTATTTCCTATACCTGCTGTTACTTTCAGTTTTCAAAATCCTAGCTTCATTCCAGCCTACTAAGTGACCCTCTTCATAGGCATGTTGGGCTAATTTTGTTTGTCTAGAAGTCTGTCTTTGAGATTGTACCTATATTCTTGAAGCCACATAAGTAGAGGTCTGCCACATTCACAGGGAATGTTACAGATGCAATGTGCCATCTATTGTGGATCTCTTTCCAGCCAGGTTTTCATAAGTGAACCCTTAGGGTGTGTTTAGTTTTGAAGATAGTCCTAATGTATATCAATTCAATATACAGTATGTGCCAAAATATGCAGTACTAAAACTTGCGCATCTTGAACGTGCATATGCATTTATCGACAGAGCATAACTCCAGCTACATTTGTTCCCAGTAGTGAAAAGGAAGTTGTGTTGTGCAGTTGTTGTTGGAAATGGGTCTCTCGACAGAGGAAAAAGTATTCATAGTTGAGTATTATTTCCGCTCATATGAAAGTGGTTGCTAGACTACTCGCTTCCTGGTTTTGAGCGGCCAGATGTTATCATCCAGAAACTGCTACATAGTACACGTGTGAAGATATGGTGTGCCGTCTCAGCACACAGAATATTAGGCCCGTATTCATTGAGGATGAGGAAGGCAATGCTCTTACTGTCACCCAAGAACGCTACAGGAACATGGTGATCAGACCATTTCTTCAGGATTTAAGAAGGTTCTATCATGCAAGGGACCTTCACATGAATAGACTGTGGTATCAACAGAACATCTTTTCATTTCAGTACTGTATTTTTGGTGCATACTGTATTTGAGCTTGTCTGAAATACCCTTTACATATGAGATATATCCAGAGCCAAGAGGCTGTCTTCCATTTTTATGCTTGGAGCAGTTGTAGAGTGTCTGGCGCAGCATGTGGCTAGAAGCATTTGGCATGGACTGTTCAGGAAGGTAATGCCAACATATTACTTTCAGGTACTTGACATCGCTGGTCCTGCCCCTCAGCCAACACAGTATGTCAGTCTTGTTTTACGAAGACCTGATAAACGCCGAAAGTCTACACAAACATGGCATTTTACAGAAGATGGACGTTTGTGCTGTGCTCACAATAACATGTGTGTCCAAGCAAAAGATGGTTTCTTTGGTTTGCACCGAGGTAAGCATATTCTTTCCTATTGGACTGGAACAAGTCCAGGTCTCTGTCTAGTCTGGGCTTTGGTTTTTTCAAACTAGATTTAAGCTTCACAGTATCTAATGTCAAACATGTTACCCCCCTGTTGTTGGTTCTGGTACATGGAATGACTACCCTCCCCCAGGAAATTGACCGTTTGATTGTTTACAGCATAATCTGTGGCCTTGTGCTGAACAGAACAGTGCTGAGCTGTCTGCACTGAAAAAATAAATTTTTAATAAAATAGCTATACGTACCCTGAATTTTTGGCATGTGTCAGAAGTAGTGTACCACTTCGAACACAATGTGCAGTAGGGTAATGCACATCGACATGTTGAAGTTTACCGCCACAATATCTGTAATAATTTGTAATTAACTCTTACAGCGGGTGAATATGCTGCTGTTCACTATACTGTCTGTACTTCTGGTTCTGTTTGCAGCCAACAAGTCTCATTGTTCAGATTTGTTTGGAATGCAAAGTTACAAAATCATGTTTACTTGAAATTGCACTCATGTTTTGCATAGTAGTAAAGTCTGTTTATTTCACTTCCATTGACTTCATGAAATCTTAAGCCATTCGTACCTCTCCCTACTAGCACTAAGCAATGGGACATTCATATTAAAGAATTAAGAAGATCACTTTTACAAAGGAGAATTCCCAGATACTCAAGTGAGTCATAAAACTATGGAAGCATGTAAATTGTTGGAGAACTATTTGTAATAATTTTCTTGAGGATCTCATTGCTGCTGGTTCACAGACTTGCTTCTGTCTGACAACAAAGCTCGCGAACTCACTGTGTGCTTTCCATGGCAGCAGTGGACAGAAATCTCAGTATGGTTTGATGATGATGGAATATCAGTGTTTCATGGCTGTGTTGTTGTTGGTGTTGTTGTTGATCTATGGCAGTCTGAGTGGCATCTATTATTGTCTGAATATGTTTTGGTGTGCTGTCACAAGAATGTCAGTGCTTGAATTGGAGCATCGAATGAACATTAAATTTCTTGTTAAACTTGGCAAGAGTGGAAATGAAATCAGAGAGATGTTAATGCAAGTTTACAAGTGGGTGAGACATTTTTCAGAGGGAAGAGAAAGTGTCACTGATGAAGAAAGATTAGGACGACCAGTAACAAGCAGAACTGAAGAAAACATTGCAAAAGTTTGTCATATTTTGCGTAAAAATTGTTGGCTGACTGTCAGGAGCATAGCGTAGCAAGCGCACATTGACAGAGAAACAGTTAGGGAATCTTAACTGAAGATCTTGACATGAGGAAGGTGTTTACAAAAATGTTCCCAAAGGAACACTGTCTGTGAGCGACTTTTTAGCTAGAAAACAAATAGCCGTGCTAAAACACCCTCCCTTTTCATCTGATCTAGCCCTCAATGACCTTTCTTCTGTTCCTGAAGATAAAGGAAATATTGAAAGGAAGGCCTTTTGATGACATTGATGACATCAGGACTAATACGACAGCAGCTCTGAAGGCCATTCCGCAAAACCAGTTCCAAAATTGTTTTGAAAGGTGGACTTTTCCTTAAGGAAAAGATTTTTCTGAAATAGCCTCAAACAATAATGGAATTAAAAGCAGTGATCATTCAGGCCTGCAACGAAATAACTAAGGATATGTGCCATTGAGTAATCAACAACATCACAGTTCATGCTGAAGAAGTTGCCAGACATAATGATGGCCACATTGAATGCTTCATTCACAGAGGATAAATCTGCATGCACTGCTCTTTCTTTTTGTCTGTTAGTTTCTGGTATTGCAATTGAAATAAAGATTTTTGTAATAGATTTCGTGTTTCACCCTGTACATAATTAAAGAGACTCGTGTGAGCTCTGTGGTACATACCAAAGTATGTGTATTAAAACTGTTTATTAAGTTCACTTGGCTCATTACATGGAAATGATGGTTTTATTTTAAGTGTTAAGAAATGGCAAATTTAAATTCCTCTTACCCACTCTTTGGAAATGTCTGGTGTTACTGTACCGATTGGCTGCCAAACTCTACAAATTTAAATCTCTTAGATTACCATGTTTGGAACAATCTCAGTCAGTGTACAGAAACGAGAGAGAATTGTTGATTTCCCTGGAGTTCTGCAAGAAAAAGGTGGGAATATGTTATCCCTTATGTTAAAAGATAGCATCTAGTCAGCCATTGATCACTTACTTATGGAGCTGAGCCCTTCTTGAGGAGAAACCAAATCTGGAGCTACTCAAGAATTCCTCAGCATTTTATGGAACCCAAAGGTTCATTACTGTGTTCACAAGAACCCTCCACTGGTCCCTATCCTGAGTCAGATCAATCCAATTCATACCATCCCATCCCATCTCTCTAAGATCCATTTTAATATTGTCCACCCACCTACGCCTTGTTCTTCCTTCTGGCTTTCACACCAATATTCTATATTCATTCCTTTTCTCCCCCATTCGTGCTACATGCCCTGCCCACCCCATCATCCTTGACTTGATCATTCTGATAGTGCTTGGAGAAGAGTACAAGTTACAAAGCTCCTCATAATGCAGTTTTCTCCAATCTCCTGTCACTTCATCCCTCTTGGGTCCAGATATTCTCCTCAACACCCTGTTCAGTCTATGTTCCTCCCTTAATGTCAGAGATCAAGTTTCACACCCATACAGAACCACCAGCAAAATTATAGCTTTGTGTATTCTAATTTTTATGTTTTTGGACAGCAGACGAGAAGACAAAATGATCTGGACTGAATGGTAGCCAGCATTACCTGAGTTCAATCTCCTCTTAATTTCCTCATGAATTTGGTTTTGATTTGTTATCATTGTTCCCAAATATCTGAACTGTGCCACATTTGCAAAACATCTGTTTTCTATTTTTATGTCATGATTTTGCCGTGCAGTTTGGTGATGAGACAGCAACATGTACTTAGTTTTCTCTGTGTTTACTTCTTGACCGACCTCCTTACTTGCGTCATTTAAAGTTTGTGTGTTTTTCTTTATGGTATCTATATTATCACCCAGTAGATTCACATCATCGGCATAGACCAAGAGCTGATGTGTCCCATTTAATTTCAGTCCTGCCTGGTTTTCCTGGACCTTCCTAATGGCATGTTCTAAAGCAAAGTTGAAAAGGAGTGGCGATAAAGCATCTCCTTGTCTTAGACCATTCTGGATAGGAAATTTATCAGACAAATGTATACCTATACAGACTTTACTATACATTTTGTTTAAACACATTTTAATCAGCTGAATTAGTTTCATGGGTATCGCAAACTCTATCAGAATACTATACAATACTTCCCTCCTAACTGAATCATAGGCTTTCTTGAAGTCTATGCATAACTGACGTACTGTCTCATTGTGCTCCCATTTCCCCCCCCCCTCCCAATATGTGACGAATACAAGAGATCTGATCTGTAGTTGATCTGTTACATCGAAACCTACACTGATGATCCCCAATAATTTCATCTGTGTATGGACTTAACCTTGAGAGAAAAATATTGGATAAAATTTTGTATGAAGTTGAAAGCAGTGATATCCCCCGATAATTACTACAGTCAGTTTTATCACCCTTCTTGTGAACTGGTACAATAATAGGTTCCTCCCTCTGATCAGACAATTTTTCTTTATGACAAATAGAAGTAATTAGCTTATGGATCTTAGAATGTAATATTTCACATCCTGCTAGGACAAGTTCTGCTGGAATTTGATCACTACCTGGCGTTTTATACCTTTTCAATTTTGCAATAGCAATTTCAACCTCAGAAGGGCTGGGATGAGGTATTAACAGTTCAGCTGTGTGTATTTCTATCTGCCTAACATCACTGATCCTATGTACATTCAATAACTGAGAGAAGTAGTTCAATCTATTCAAAATGTTGTGATAATCTGTAAGCAGATCACCATTCTCATCCTTCACTAAGTTACTTCTAGGTTGGTAACCCCTCTTAAAGTCATTTATTCCTCTGTACAGGTCTCTGATGTTCTTGTTATTACTGTTCATTGCAAGCTCATCAATTTTGTCTCTCAGATATTCCTTCTATTTATTCCTGAAATGCCTGCTGGTTTCATGTCTTATATTGTTCAGATTATTCCTGTTTATTTCACTTGGATTCTGTAACCATTGCAGTTTGGTTTGTTTTCTGCGGTCTAGTAATTTTGAGCATCCTTCATCGAACCATGGCTTATGTTACTTCAGTTCATAATAACCTAGACTTTCCTTGGCAGAAATTTTGATATTCTCTCTAATAGTTTCCCAAGTTTTATTAACATCCACCTCAGTGTCCAAGTTTTCCAAATCCACAAACCTATTTGAGATTTCAACACGATACTGCTCTTTACCCTCTGCCTCATTTAATTTCTTGAGATTGAACTACTCTGTATGAACTCTGTGTGTTGTTTGTTTGCTCACTGCCAGTCTTTCCCTAACCTTTGCCACCACCAGTATCACAATCTGCTGCCCTGAATGATCGAACATCAACTATACTTGAATGCAGTCTCCTATCTATCAGAATATGGTCGATCTGATTGTGTATCTTCCCATCAGGAGATGTCCAAGTAAATTTATGGATGTTACGATGCGTGAACATTGTACTTTTGACAGTAAGATTTTTTGATGTGGCAAAGCTTCCTACTCTGTTCAGTTATTCAGTATAGAGGGGGTGGGTTTCCCCATGCACCGCGACTAATTGTCTATTTTACGCCCCCCTTTAATTTCTATGGTCGCCATATCCTACCGATACTGGTGCCCACTATCTCCCCTTTCTGCCAGCGAGGTCAGCCCTCTACTGGCATTGGTACCCGATAACTTCCCCGTCTACCGGAGGCATTGGAAACTACTTGGGCGGGAAACATTTTGCCTAATTTTGCTCAGAGGTCTCCTAGAGACATGAGGATCTTTTATGTGCCGTAAATCTATGACACGGGACCCACGGCTTAAAGTCCCTCCCGGAGGATTTGTTCCGTGAATTTTTCTGCCCTTAAAAATTCCACGACCTCCACCGGGTTTGAACCCACGTACCTTGAGTCATGAGGTGGGAACATTACCCCTAGACTACAGCCACTTCCTACTCTTAACTCCATTGTCATTACTAATTAGCCATTGACCACTGGGGAAGATAATTTCAGGATGTTATCCAAGAAAAGCAGGGGTCTTTTCAGCATCATTTCCAACAAGATTATGATGTGTGATAAATGAAAATGCCTGTTTTTAACTTATAAAATGGAAAATATTTTTCACTGTAACAGATCAACTCAACTGAACATATCTTTTTTATATATACACAGGTATATTATATATAACTTATACAAGTTTCACAGAGGCATTCTTTTTTTACCATTTTTTAAAATATAAATTAGTTCTGTGCCACTCAATATCAGGAAGAACATGCTGAGATGAAAAATATCTGTAAGCACTCTAACATATTGTCACGTGTATATGTGTGTTGTGACTTTATATGAGTTTTTGGTTTATTGGATTTATTGACCACTTACAGGTCGTACCACAACCAACTATAACACTGTTATTATTTCTACACTATACAGTTCACTGTTACACATACTATTGTAGTTCCCTCAGTCTGTTACAGACTCCACTATCTCTTTCGTGGCAATGGATTTTCACACAGGAACCATAATAGTCTCAGTGAATTACACATTTCAAATATCACTGTACTACAGCACATATAAAGTCTTCTGTTCGCAGCCCAACTGCCAACTGCACTCATAGCACCATCTTCTCAGCCTACCTTGAAGAGCCCAACTCTCAATTAACTGCTTGCTTGACAGTCCAGGACTAGAATAACTCTGTAGCATTGACCACATAGAAAACACCCACATATCCATTGTAACTGTGTTGTTGTGTCTATCTCATTTCCTTGGGAACATGCTTACTGAGCTGTTGCTCAGAAACAGTCTGATATATCGTTGTTTATTTTCCAGTTGCATAGCAATGGCTGCTTTTTACAGAGTCACTGCTTAGCAACAGGTCTGTACACCACAGTATATCTTAGAATGGGACATATTCGTTATCAGAGCATTTTGGAAGCTGGCTCAGATATGGGAAGGAGTATGTTCTCTGTGGAGCCCATTAGACACATTATTGCCCAATTCGGTTGATGCAGTAATGCTTCTGACGTGTATTCCAGAAATTTCAGGTGAAGTCATTCTGACTGGAACACTGACTGTCCTGACTGCGGCTTCTGTGGTTTTCCTCAGTGCCTTCCTCTCATTGTGTTACAGTACCTCAGCTGGACCCACAACCACTTCCTTCCACATCCTTCTGAAGTTATTATTCACAAGGCTTTCTTCCATTTGACACTATATGACATTAAGTACTGGGAGTGTCGTTAAATTAGCCGTAAATGCAGGTAATCCCTAATAGTGTTCCTTCTTTTAACCGGAAGATGGTGACAGAAGAGTTTCCTGAAAGAGTACAAGCATATAATCTTTCTTAAGTTGGCAGCCCTTCAGAGCTTGTGTTTGGAGTTTGTTCTGTGTGTGAAGGTGGTGTGTAGAGCACTGAACTGGAACACTGACAGTGTTGTGTTGACTGTGTATACACAATTGAAATACACTGGTCAAATTGTTTGGTGTTATTTAGTGAGTTTGTTCTGTGTGTGAAGGTGGTGTGTAGAGCACTGAACTGGAACACTGACAGTGTTGTGTTGACTGTGTATACACAATTGAAATACACTGGTCAAATTGTTTGGTGTTATTTAGTGATCCTGTATTGGCTGTATATTACAGCAAATGAGATTTCAGAATGGTTATGTATGGTTGGAGGTTGGAAGACTTCTAATTTCTAATGAAAGTTTTTATCTCATGTGTTCCTCTGTTTGTATATCACACTTGCAAGTGCATCCAGTGCTTACTCTTCTGTATAGTGGAACAAATTACATGTCTTTGTTAACAATACTAACAAGAGTATTCATCTTGTGGTGTCCTTGGTTATGTAGTCTGATATATTATTATCAACAGCCTTCATCTTCAAGGTGGAAGGAACTTTCACCCTGAAGACAGAGGCAGCGTTTTGTTCTGGTGTCATAATCCAGAAGGCCACAGTATGAGTGTTCACGTTAAATATTAGCAGCTGTGTATTGAAGTATTTTGGTGTTAGTGTTAATTTTGTTATGAGTTATACAATGTTGCTATTTTCCAGGGTCTGCCACCTCTGGGGCCTCATGGCAGTTGTGTACGTATCATTCTCTTTTATAGATAGAAAAATGTTTGCTACATTTGGGTGGCCATTTTGGTTACCAGTTGCTTCTATCCTCCCTGAGAGTATCTGAACACTGGCATAAGCAGACATTACAGGGTCAAGACAGTCGAGAGACATTGCACTTACTGCCCATGTCCAGTAATACTGCTTGCACAGAAACCACTGCTCTTCCATAGTTTGGAGGTCCCAGAGACTGGCTATCCTGACTAAGATTTCTGTGGATTTCCTCAATCCCTCCAGACAATTTATGGATCACTAATCATATCATTCAGCACGTATGGTCTGAACTAGTGATAGCATTTTAAACAGACTTTACATGAGATAGAAAAAGGAGGAAATTTGCGATATTGAGTACATGCAATGAATATGTAAGATTTGAGGCTTTCACAGCAGTGACTATGAAGAAAGCAGTCTTCTGGGATTTGGCACCGTGTATATGTGGTGTTAACCGACGTNTGCCAACGTTCCTTCTGGTAATCAGCACACGTTCTTTTTGACTTATTCATGTTGCTAAACTGACTTATCAAACAGCAGGATAAATGTATGGCTTTGGCTTTCAGGAATAAGCAGCTTAGAAAGCTGAAGGTTCTGCAGTATTTTGGCAAACATTTCATTTCTCATATTCAGGATTAGTGTCCGTAGGGACATTCCAGGAGCCCTTGCATATATCTGGCAATGAACAGTTTAAGAAGACAGCATATCACTTTTCCAATTTCAGATGGAATATACACACATACACCAATACTTAAACATCAGTTCTGCCATATACGATTATATTGCCTATCTCTGTCAGTGCCTGTGACATGCGCGAATAATGAAGTGAAATCGGCAGGATTTTCAGAAGAATTGTTCAGTGGTTTTGTTTTCTCTCATCAGTATAATTTATTACATTATTCTGGCAAACACTGCATTTCCCATGTTCAGGATTGGTGTCTATGGGGGCATTTCAGGAGCTCTGGCATATATCTGGCAATGGACAGTTAATGGGGGGGGGGGCAAAGGTGTGATTTTATGGCACCAAGGAGTGGTGTGCTACCCAGCAGGAGGTGCCCATGAGCCTAAGGAAAAGAGCTGACTGAGAGATCTCTGGAGGCAAAGTGTTCATGAAGAAAGGCAATAAAAAGAGTTCTTTGCAACTTTGTGTCTTCAGCTGCTACATGGTGTAGTGATGAAGATGTGATGAAAGGTGTTTTTGCAACCACATGATTGGAAATGTTATCCTGGTGTTGGGCTTTTCTGTATGTATTTATGGGTTCTGCTGTGAAGGTGGATGCAGACTGAGAAAAACGTGGCCACAGAAATGTCTCTCATTTATATCTTCATCATCTGTCCACAACATGGAGTCATGCCTCGCTTCATGACCACCTTGTCTCTGGAAAACTCTTGCCAGTGCCTGTTTTCTTCACCCTCATGGTTGCTCCCTGATGGATAGTGCACCAGTCCTGACTTACATCTTCCACTGTTTCTGAAACCAGCCCTACAGATGGCTGCTTCTGTGTTTGCCAAAATGTTGCATACTCTTCAAGATTCTGCTCAGCCAAGGAGGAGGACAGAGTCTCCTTAGATTACACACTGTGTTATTTGTAAGCAGAACTCATCTTGCTCTGCTTCCAGCATCAAGGGTGCCATAATATAGATTCTTAAGTTGCTGGTATATGTTCATGTACCATATGAATTACAGACATAGCCCATTAATTAGGCTAGCCATTACTGTATTTTGCATTCACTGATGTGAAGCACTTGCACAGAGATAGACGCCAGGTACTTGAAACTTCATAGCAGTTCAATTAGAGGTGGAGTACTCCATTATTATATTGAAATTGTTTGGCTGGAGACAGATTCAGAGATATATTTCATAGTTCTGCAGAGATGTTGTGTGCATGAGATACATGATAAGAGTTATGGACTGAGCCTGAAGGTCATTGGGCAGAAGTACAGAAACTAGATAGAACAAAAAGAGAAAGACACAATACAAATAATGCATGAGGGAAAGTCAGTAAATAGGTCACAAATGGAAGTAAAACAGCTGTAATGGATGTATTATGTTTTCTATATGTATCACTAGGTAGCAGATGTGCATGCGCAAGTGCAGAGGCTGGTCTCAGTAGTCAAAATGGAGACCATGCTTGAGGAGTATACTACGAAAGAACAGCATTCTGTTGTACTTGTACATATTGTGACATGCCGCCAGGAAGGCCGGACTATAAGGCGTCCATTGCTAGTCAACGGCTAGCAATTCCTAGGCAACAAAATATAAGCAGCCCGTTGCCTAGGGAATCACTTAAACATCACACGCTTTGACCCGGAGACGAAAGCCTAACAGTGGGGCTTCCACAGTTACAAAGAGTCTAGCAGGGCCTAAGTAACGAATTGTTTGAGGCAGTTGCATTACAACAGCGCTGGTTAGGTAAACATGTATTCCTGTAGCAACAAGAGAGTCATTTGCATGACAGCAGTGAAACTGAACCTTTTGACTAGGTAGCCTCTATCCTGTCCGAGCATAGGATATAAGCGAAGAACAATTCAGAGGACCGAGTCAGTCCAGCTTCGACTAGAGCAGAAGTCAGTTCATATCAGACAAGGGATAAAAGAAGAGCCAAGACACTTCACTGAGATTAGCTGTGCAAGAGCAGAACGTTGAAGAGGAAATGTCTGAAGGTGTTATAAGTGCGAGTGGTTGCAATTGTAAGTGTAACCAAATAATAGTCCAATAAACATATCCGTCTAATCTGAGACCTATCATTTCTTGTTGCATTACCTAGGAAACACGTGACAGTATTTTGTGGGTAAAAGGGCTTGATACAGAGGATATTCATAAAGAAATATGATGCTGATATTATAAACATAATGGGTCATAGGTGTGTAATTTTTGACTGTATTTGATTTAGTTAATATGGGTATATTATATGAAATGGTGTAAATACAAGTTTTATAGTAGGTTATTTTTTAAGTATGTCTATTAAATGAAATGTATTCAAACGGACTATTTCCACATCCTGGTTTGTTAACCTGTATGGATATATATGGAAAAATAAAGAATGAATGAATGATTGAATGAAATTTTCTTATTTACGGTGGGAAGTGTTCACCACATAAAGTGATTCACGACTAGATCAAGAAATTCTCAGAAGGACGTTCAAAAATTGCAGACAATGCCTGACCAGATTACCATGTTCAGATTGTGACAGAAGCCACTGCAGGGGGTGAAAGAGTTGATTTAAGCTGACAGGAGGATAACAATAGGCAGTGCAGCAACTGCATTAGGGTGTTCCCATGGTTTTGCACGCAGCATAATGCATGATCATCTGAAGTTTCAGAAAGTGTGCATACAGTGGGTACCCAGAGAACTGAAGGCTTAAGAAAAAATTAACTGAATGAGTCTGTCATGGCAACATCTCTTATGGTATGTAGATGGAGAAGATATGCTTAACAGGATTGGTACTGGGGATGACTCATGGGTGCATTTTTACCAACCCAAATCAAAGCATACTTCAGTTCGGTGGGAACATCGCAGTTCACCTTCACCCAGAAAGAGAGCTATGTCATCAACTGGGAAGGTTATGCTTACCATGTTTTGGGATTCTCAGGGAGTACTGCTAGCCCATTTTCAGAAGTATGGCAAAAATGTGAATTTTGCATCATACTGTGAAGTTCTGTTAAAGCTTCTGGATGCAAGTAGCAGGAAACATCCAGGCCAGCTGGCAAGAGGGTACTGCTTCATCATAACAATGCCATACCCCATGTATCCCAAGCATCCCAGGATAGAATTCAAGAACTGCAGTGGGATCTTCTTGAACATCCACTGTACAGCCCCTAGTGACTTCCATCAGTTTGGTCTACTAAAAGCCACCTTGGTGGCAGAAATTTTGCTGACGATGAAGAGATTGAAACAGAGATGTGGAAGTGGCTGAGACAACAGTCAAAGGACTTCTATGCTGCAGGTTTCAATCCAATGGTAAAGCGATTTGACAAGTGTATCAGTGTTGGTGGAGTATATATCGAGAAATAAATGTTTTTTTCCAGGTTCAAATATCACATGTTTTACATTTCATATCCATTTGTGACCTGTTTACTGACTCTCTTTTGTATAATAAAATATGTGGCAGTTGGTGAAAGTAGTTTTGTTATGGGTATTCCCTTTGCTATCATGTCCAGCCTAGCCCCTTTTCCAGTGGGTATGACAGGCCTGACCTTCCCTGTGGGTGAATGTAGCCAGAACCTGAAGCTGACAATCACCTTCCTTTAGTGCTGAGCTTAAGAACATGTAGAGTTTTATCTGATTTCCCCATATACACTTCTGTGGAATGGTGTTTCACAGCTGTACCCTTAATTTACTGTTGACATGAGTTGGGAGAAGTTTTGAATATGGGATGTGTGAAACATGCATGAGCAGGATGTGCCAGATTACTGACACACTAGATGATCTGTTTGGTTATCTATTGTATGAGAGAATATTTCTTTTCGCCATGGATGATCACATTTGACGTGGTGGGCATGTTGCATGCATAGGAGAGGTCCGAGATACCTACACGTTGGCTGGGAAATGTAAAGGAAAGACCTTGGGATAGACAGGAGGATAATATCAGAATGTATATTAAAACAGTATGGTGGAGCTGTGGATTGATTTAATTGGGCTTAAGATGGGGAGAATGGACTGGTTTTGTAAATACATTAATGAATTTTCAAGTTCCATGAAAAGCACATATTCTTAAGGAGGTAAGTAACTAAGCTTCTCAAGAAGGACTCTGCTTCATGGAATTAGTTAAAAACAGTTTGCACCAAATCTTTCTGTACTCAGCAGTGCCATTGGGACAGCATGGCTTTGCTCTATGTATGCATAGAATTGAATGTGATGTGATAATGAAGTGTATTTATGAACTGATAAAATATTTTTGAAATTCTGTTTTATAAGTTCCTTTGTATAATAAAACTGATTTTCAATTCTTGACAAATTTTTGCAATTGAAATCTTCTTATGAGCATCACATGTGCCAAATCCTTCCAGTGTTGTATGGATTTGTTGTTTCATTGCTCTGAGAGGAACAGAAATGTACATGCTGCTGCTGTTCCTGCAGGGAGTGAGGCAGTGCTGGGCCCACCTCAGCCTGTGTGCCACCAGCTGACACACACAGGCGTTCCACTGGAACAGGCTGTAGGCAGACACAGACTGAGACCTGGATCCGGCTTCCTGGCTGTGAAGATAATGACAGATGGCCCAACTTCAGTTCTTCATATTTCTGACATTAAAGAGAAGGTAATTTTGCCACCCTCTGTGTGTCATGCTCATGTGAGTGGTCATATGTTATCATTGTGTATGTATATGTGTGTGTGTGTGTGAGAATAATTGACATAAGAACTACCCAGAACAAATTCAAAGAAACAGTAGTGACTGTATGGCTGGAAGGCCCCCTGGAGATGGCAAACTGCACAGTGGAAACCAGCTTGAAGACTTCTTACCAAGAATGACTGTACACAGCTAGGACACTGGTTCAAGATCAACAGGAGGTTACTGTCAGAATCATAAATAACATTGACTGAGACCAGGAATTGACTGAAGGCACCACCTTGGTTTCCAGTCAGCCAGTTGCACAAGCAGCACCAGTCAACATGTTCCCAACCCAAGACTAGGAACTGGATGGCTCAGTGAACGATTGCAAACAGTGGGACCCAGCACCAGACAGAACCTCGGTGCAGGAGAAGCCCAAGAGTTGGAAAGCTTAATGATTGAAATCCAGGACATTTTCACATTGAAGAGCTACAGATTTGGGCAGCCCCATAGAATCTGCCCACACCCTTGTGAGCTCCTACTAGACAAGCAGGCTGGGTTAGATAGGATGCTGGAGGACATGAAAGGTTGAGAGATAATAGAGGAATTGGACATCCCCTTGGTCATCATTCATCATGCCCATCAGTAGAAACAGAACCCTTCAGTTTTGTATGGACTGCTGAGATGGACTGCTTCCTAATAGAAGTAGATGACACCCTGGATACACTTGCTGAGACCACATGGTTCTCAACCCAGGATTTGAATAGTAGCTACTGGCGAGTTGCCTTGCACCCCAGAGGCAAGGAGAAGACACTGCTGTCTACCAGGCAGGGCTAAGGCTCCAACTGGCTTCAACTGTATACATGCCAGAAGCATTAGAGCTGGGGCCATCTTTGTTGTTCAGTGGTTACGTGCCAAGCTTTTAGTAGATTTGTTCACAGTGTCATTGATTCATGCTACAGCAGTTCTGTATGCTAATTTAGTAATGATGCACTACTTGTTTAATAGTTCTTAACAGTTCATATACTGCCAAGGGTACTTGAAACTTCACAGACCCCTAACCATTAGTAATGGCAGGCATCACCTGTTCATTCCCAAACTTTTCTACTTGCCAGCTGCCTTAGCTGTGTATAGCACATTTTGAATTAGTCGCTTAATATTATTTGTGGATGAGTACAAACCATGAAACTCAGCCATTTGTAATTTGTGATCTTTGCTCCAAACATTCTCCTCAGCACTCACTTGTTAAGCATTCTCAATCAGGTTCTGCCCTTAGGGTGAGAGACCGATCTTAACAGCCAGAGGCAAAATTATAATATTGTAGTGGTTAGACCCATTGCTGGGTAACAACCTCAAAACAAACAACGAAACAACATCTACTCTTAAGGAACAGATTTCTCAAAAGCAACTGTACGCATCTGTTCTGGGTAACACCTTTGCAAACAGGCACATTCCCACAGAAACAATTGGGGTACAACAATGCACAGTGTTTTCTACACGGTTCATGCCAAAACAATATAACCAAAACAAGTTTGGAAGTTAGTCAGTTGTAAGGGAGCCTGTGAAGAGAAGACTTGTTCGGTGCAGTTGACTCCCCAGTGTTAGAAGCCATTACGAGGGAACAACTGGTGAAGGCACAGCAGACTGAAAGACTTAGAAAGTTATGTAATGATTTGTAAACTATGGAAATAGCAATAGTGTCATAGTCTTTTGTAGTTACAACCTGTAAGTGGTCAATAAATCCAATCTCCAGTCTGAAACCCCATCAAGAGTCACTCTAACAAGTGACAATACTGTACGTTTTTGTTACTTTTCAACTTCAGATACTGTTTCTTCTCATTGCAGCACACATACTTGGTGAAGGATGAGACCATTGTTCTGATGTCTCGGTTGCCAGAAGCAGCTGCTAGAGGTCTGCCATCTGATACTCGTGAACTGCAGGTCAGTGTTAAACTTTATACCTGGCTATTGCCACTGCTTGCATCTGTACCAGTGTTTAAAGCTGAGTGAATGTCTGAAAGCTTGAAGCCTGTAACTTCTGGTTCGTGGCTCTCAGAGTTTGTTTCCATATACAGAATTTGTTTTGTATGAACATGTTGACATGAAGGTAATGTATGAAATTGAAATCTGTAGTTACATTGATAGACTGAAGGACACTTTGAATTAAAAACGGGTGGACAGAATTTTTTTTTCTTCTTTCAGCATAGAATAATTGTGCAAAAATTTTAAATTTGCATTTGAATTAATGGTATTACTTGTAGTTCAGTGTGCTGTCCAGCTGTGTTCCCACACCAGATGGATTTTGATAACTTTCGCAGTTCTGTACTATGGTGTTTTGCTCTAATAATGGTAATCATGCTGTATTTTGGTTTTCTTGTTACTGGTATTACATAGAATTTCAATTATTTGTTTTCAGGTGAAGCTGGATTTACCTGGGGGACTTGGCATAAGTTTGGTGTCCTCTCAGCCTGCAGAAGAACTTCTGTTTGCTCACCTGACTGGGATCAACATGGAACTGGTGTCGACAGGGTCACAGCAGAAACTGAACCTTCGCGTGAAAGACATCCAGTGTGATAACCAGCTGTTTGAGGCTCAGTGCCCTGTGGTCATGTATGTTACTCCACCATCTGCAAGAAGTAAGGATGCTGAGACACAACGTATTCTGCCAGTGCTCAGGATCACCGCCGAGAGGGTCCCAAACATTAATCCTAATGTCGCAACATACAAGGTACTGTGACTACTGCCTCTCCTGAAAAGCAGCCAACAGACTGCTTCTGAAATTCCTAACATTTTATGGAACTCGAAGGTTTATTACCATGTCCACAAGAGCATGTCACTGTCATGAGCCAGATGAATCCAGTTCACACTGTCTTATCCTATTTCTTTTCCTGAAAAAGCACATTATTCCAAGCTTCAGTGAAGGTTTATACCTTAGCATAACTGGCATAAAATTAAATTTATAATGTGGAGGTATTACAAAATGATTTGACAACACCGTCCAGTGTGACTCAGTATATATTTATATAATGCCTTTACCTGTTTTGGTCAGTTGTGACCATCTTCAAAATCTTAAAATCTTGAACTGCAAAGGTTTGTGTCTCCATGCCTCTTCTGTGAAAATGGGAGATTGGGATGATATTTGCCGTCGACTGATGTTTGGGCAACATTGTTTCCGTTTTTTTTTTTGTATGCTTGGTTAAGGATCTGCAATTATATTATGGGTATTTTAAGAAAAGGGTATGTACTTGCTTATTATTTATTTGACTGCAATTTTTATTTGAGTTCCGTGTTGTCTGTTCCTACCTGTGTTGTTAAAATTTATAAATATAGTAATTTTATTTTATATCCATGATGTTACCCTTTGTAGCGTATTTGATCATTTCTGTAATTTGTTCCATAGGCCCATATTGGTGACCTTTGTCTAACATGTGTTAGGCAAAGGCTGATTATGTAGTAAAAGATTTACAGGTCACATTGGACGGAGTGATTTATAATTTGTAAAGGCTGATTCTTCTTTATTAAACCTTATGTTTCTTATGTGTTCCTTATATCTTGTTCAATTTTGGCCTGTTCGCCCAATATACGAAGGGGGACCCAAAAATAACCGGAACCGACCTGTTGCGCGCGCATGCTTTGTAGTTACGAGTTGTGCTGCTAGGTGGTGTTAGCTGGGGGT